CCTCCTTTCCCCCCCTTCCTTTCCCCTCCTTTCCCCCCCTTCCTTTCCCCTCCTTTCCCCCCCTTCCTTTCCCCTCCTTTCCCCCCCTTCCTTTCCCCTCCTTTCCCCCCCTTCCTTTCCCCTCCTTTCCCCCCCTTCCTTTCCCCTCCTTTCCCCCCCTTCCTTTCCCCTCCTTTCCCCCCCTTCCTTTCCCCTCCTTTCCCCCCCTTCCTTTCCCCTCCTTTCCCCCCCTTCCTTTCCCCTCCTTTCCCCCCCTTCCTTTCCCCTCCTTTCCCCCCCTTCCTTTCCCCTCCTTTCCCCCCCTTCCTTTCCCCTCCTTTCCCCCCCTTCCTTTCCCCTCCTTTCCCCCCCTTCCTTTCCCCTCCTTTCCCCCCCTTCCTTTCCCCTCCTTTCCCCCCCTTCCTTTCCCCTCCTTTCCCCCCCTTCCTTTCCCCTCCTTTCCCCCCCTTCCTTTCCCCTCCTTTCCCCCCCTTCCTTTCCCCTCCTTTCCCCCCCTTCCTTTCCCCTCCTTTCCCCCCCTTCCTTTCCCCTCCTTTCCCCCCCTTCCTTTCCCCTCCTTTCCCCCCCTTCCTTTCCCCTCCTTTCCCCCCCTTCCTTTCCCCTCCTTTCCCCCCCTTCCTTTCCCCTCCTTTCCCCCCCTTCCTTTCCCCTCCTTTCCCCCCCTTCCTTTCCCCTCCTTTCCCCCCCTTCCTTTCCCCTCCTTTCCCCCCCTTCCTTTCCCCTCCTTTCCCCCCCTTCCTTTCCCCTCCTTTCCCCCCCTTCCTTTCCCCTCCTTTCCCCCCCTTCCTTTCCCCTCCTTTCCCCCCCTTCCTTTCCCCTCCTTTCCCCCCCTTCCTTTCCCCTCCTTTCCCCCCCTTCCTTTCCCCTCCTTTCCCCCCCTTCCTTTCCCCTCCTTTCCCCCCCTTCCTTTCCCCTCCTTTCCCCCCCTTCCTTTCCCCTCCTTTCCCCCCCTTCCTTTCCCCTCCTTTCCCCCCCTTCCTTTCCCCTCCTTTCCCCCCCTTCCTTTCCCCTCCTTTCCCCCCCTTCCTTTCCCCTCCTTTCCCCCCCTTCCTTTCCCCTCCTTTCCCCCCCTTCCTTTCCCCTCCTTTCCCCCCCTTCCTTTCCCCTCCTTTCCCCCCCTTCCTTTCCCCTCCTTTCCCCCCCTTCCTTTCCCCTCCTTTCCCCCCCTTCCTTTCCCCTCCTTTCCCCCCCTTCCTTTCCCCTCCTTTCCCCCCCTTCCTTTCCCCTCCTTTCCCCCCCTTCCTTTCCCCTCCTTTCCCCCCCTTCCTTTCCCCTCCTTTCCCCCCCTTCCTTTCCCCTCCTTTCCCCCCCTTCCTTTCCCCTCCTTTCCCCCCCTTCCTTTCCCCTCCTTTCCCCCCCTTCCTTTCCCCTCCTTTCCCCCCCTTCCTTTCCCCTCCTTTCCCCCCCTTCCTTTCCCCTCCTTTCCCCCCCTTCCTTTCCCCTCCTTTCCCCCCCTTCCTTTCCCCTCCTTTCCCCCCCTTCCTTTCCCCTCCTTTCCCCCCCTTCCTTTCCCCTCCTTTCCCCCCCTTCCTTTCCCCTCCTTTCCCCCCCTTCCTTTCCCCTCCTTTCCCCCCCTTCCTTTCCCCTCCTTTCCCCCCCTTCCTTTCCCCTCCTTTCCCCCCCTTCCTTTCCCCTCCTTTCCCCCCCTTCCTTTCCCCTCCTTTCCCCCCCTTCCTTTCCCCTCCTTTCCCCCCCTTCCTTTCCCCTCCTTTCCCCCCCTTCCTTTCCCCTCCTTTCCCCCCCTTCCTTTCCCCTCCTTTCCCCCCCTTCCTTTCCCCTCCTTTCCCCCCCTTCCTTTCCCCTCCTTTCCCCCCCTTCCTTTCCCCTCCTTTCCCCCCCTTCCTTTCCCCTCCTTTCCCCCCCTTCCTTTCCCCTCCTTTCCCCCCCTTCCTTTCCCCTCCTTTCCCCCCCTTCCTTTCCCCTCCTTTCCCCCCCTTCCTTTCCCCTCCTTTCCCCCCCTTCCTTTCCCCTCCTTTCCCCCCCTTCCTTTCCCCTCCTTTCCCCCCCTTCCTTTCCCCTCCTTTCCCCCCCTTCCTTTCCCCTCCTTTCCCCCCCTTCCTTTCCCCTCCTTTCCCCCCCTTCCTTTCCCCTCCTTTCCCCCCCTTCCTTTCCCCTCCTTTCCCCCCCTTCCTTTCCCCTCCTTTCCCCCCCTTCCTTTCCCCTCCTTTCCCCCCCTTCCTTTCCCCTCCTTTCCCCCCCTTCCTTTCCCCTCCTTTCCCCCCCTTCCTTTCCCCTCCTTTCCCCCCCTTCCTTTCCCCTCCTTTCCCCCCCTTCCTTTCCCCTCCTTTCCCCCCCTTCCTTTCCCCTCCTTTCCCCCCCTTCCTTTCCCCTCCTTTCCCCCCCTTCCTTTCCCCTCCTTTCCCCCCCTTCCTTTCCCCTCCTTTCCCCCCCTTCCTTTCCCCTCCTTTCCCCCCCTTCCTTTCCCCTCCTTTCCCCCCCTTCCTTTCCCCTCCTTTCCCCCCCTTCCTTTCCCCTCCTTTCCCCCCCTTCCTTTCCCCTCCTTTCCCCCCCTTCCTTTCCCCTCCTTTCCCCCCCTTCCTTTCCCCTCCTTTCCCCCCCTTCCTTTCCCCTCCTTTCCCCCCCTTCCTTTCCCCTCCTTTCCCCCCCTTCCTTTCCCCTCCTTTCCCCCCCTTCCTTTCCCCTCCTTTCCCCCCCTTCCTTTCCCCTCCTTTCCCCCCCTTCCTTTCCCCTCCTTTCCCCCCCTTCCTTTCCCCTCCTTTCCCCCCCTTCCTTTCCCCTCCTTTCCCCCCCTTCCTTTCCCCTCCTTTCCCCCCCTTCCTTTCCCCTCCTTTCCCCCCCTTCCTTTCCCCTCCTTTCCCCCCCTTCCTTTCCCCTCCTTTCCCCCCCTTCCTTTCCCCTCCTTTCCCCCCCTTCCTTTCCCCTCCTTTCCCCCCCTTCCTTTCCCCTCCTTTCCCCCCCTTCCTTTCCCCTCCTTTCCCCCCCTTCCTTTCCCCTCCTTTCCCCCCCTTCCTTTCCCCTCCTTTCCCCCCCTTCCTTTCCCCTCCTTTCCCCCCCTTCCTTTCCCCTCCTTTCCCCCCCTTCCTTTCCCCTCCTTTCCCCCCCTTCCTTTCCCCTCCTTTCCCCCCCTTCCTTTCCCCTCCTTTCCCCCCCTTCCTTTCCCCTCCTTTCCCCCCCTTCCTTTCCCCTCCTTTCCCCCCCTTCCTTTCCCCTCCTTTCCCCCCCTTCCTTTCCCCTCCTTTCCCCCCCTTCCTTTCCCCTCCTTTCCCCCCCTTCCTTTCCCCTCCTTTCCCCCCCTTCCTTTCCCCTCCTTTCCCCCCCTTCCTTTCCCCTCCTTTCCCCCCCTTCCTTTCCCCTCCTTTCCCCCCCTTCCTTTCCCCTCCTTTCCCCCCCTTCCTTTCCCCTCCTTTCCCCCCCTTCCTTTCCCCTCCTTTCCCCCCCTTCCTTTCCCCTCCTTTCCCCCCCTTCCTTTCCCCTCCTTTCCCCCCCTTCCTTTCCCCTCCTTTCCCCCCCTTCCTTTCCCCTCCTTTCCCCCCCTTCCTTTCCCCTCCTTTCCCCCCCTTCCTTTCCCCTCCTTTCCCCCCCTTCCTTTCCCCTCCTTTCCCCCCCTTCCTTTCCCCTCCTTTCCCCCCCTTCCTTTCCCCTCCTTTCCCCCCCTTGTTTATTCCCAATACTGTGTCCAGTTTTGGGCCCTGCATGACAAGAAAGACATTGAGGTGCTAGAGCGTGTCCAGAGAAGGGCAATGGAGCTGGTGAGGGGTCTGGAGAATAAGTCTTATGAGGAACGGCTGAGGGAGCTGGGGGTGTTCAGCCTGGAGAAAAGGAGGCTGAGGGGAGACCTTCTCGCTCTCTACAACTCCCTGAAAGGAGGGTGTAGCCATTGGGGGTCGGTCTCTTCTCCCAAGGAACAGGAGATGGGACAAGAGGAAAAGGCCTCAAGTTGTGCCAGGGGAGGTTCAGATTGGATATTAGGAACAATTTCTTCATTGAAAGGGTGTCCTTGTTTCAGCAGGGATAGAGTTAATTTTCTTTAGTGGCAGCCTTGTTTCAGATTTGGTATGAATGGAATGTCAATAATGCATATTGTTATAGTTGTTGCTAGGTGATATTTATAGTATTGAAGGTCTTTTTTCTGCTTCCCATGGAAGCTGAGGAGGAGCACAGACAGAGCAAGGGAATGACCAATGGAATATTCTGTACCATAGATGTCATGCTCAGTATATAAGTGGGGACTGGCTGGGGGCGGGAATCATGGTCACTGCTTGGGACAGTAAATTCACCAGTTTACCAGGTGGTGAGAGTGACTTGTGTCATTATTATTGCTATTTTCCTTTTCTGATACTGTCCTATTAAACTGTCTTTATCAAAGCCCACATTTTTTTTTTCCCTTTCCTTTCCCCTCCTTTTCCCCCCTTCCTTTCCCCTCCTTTTCCCCCCTTCCTTTCCCCTCCTTTTCCCCCCCCTTCTTCCTGTCCTGAGGGAAAGGAGAGAACTGCACCAGGCTGGGGTGAAACCACAGCAAAGGGTTATTGAGCATTGGAACAGGCTGCTCAGGGAAGTAGCTGAGTCACCATCTACACACATTTAAAAGACATATGTTTCAGGACACGGTTCAGTGGTAGACTTAGCAGTGTTAGGTTTATGGTTTCACTCAATGATCTTAAGGGTCTTTTCCAACTTATGATTCTACTGTTTGTCCTGTGCCCCAGTGCCTATTGTCTTTCAAAAAGCAATACCTTTACAAATAACTCAGGCAAGCACTTAAATCAGCCTTCAGCTGAGGTCAGGTAAAGTGAGCAGCTGTTTATACTGGATGCTTAAGAAACCTGCTTTTACAATATACTCACATAGCATATATTTGCATACAGTTTAAAGTGCAGGAAAAGTTCTTAGTCATTCTGTGACAAAAATCTGATGCTCTTACAGCTTTATTTGACTTGTGAAAGCCTTGTTGGTTGGGTTACTTCTGTCATGAACACTAATTGTTTTATGGAATTTTTAACTTTTGCTTGTGGGAGTAGCGAATAACTCTTCTCTTGTAGAGCGACGGGAAGACCTACGAGGTGGATTCATGCTGTGTTTTTTGGATGATGGAACAGGAATGGATTCAAGTAAGTGACAGGGAGTTGCACTTGCATTTTCAACCTGAGGTTCTGTGTTATGCCTTAATCTGAATTAGCAGCTTGGTACTGCTGAAAGGGGCATGTTCCATGCCATGTTCCTGGCTCTGTACTGGCTCTTTTGCACTGTGTCACATATCAAACATCAGACTGTTTGCCTCTTTACTTGCAGAAAGCTAATCTGGCCAAAAGAAGATTGTTTTGCTGCATTATAGAGTTGAGTCAGCCTGGCCTGTGGATTTCTAGCACACCAAAGTTGGCCTTGGGGCTGGAGGGAGAATACTGTAGCCAGGAAAGGGAATGAACTCAAACTTTGGGCCTAAGTCCTTTCCCCATTAGAGGCTGCAAGTAGTTAGAGTATCTCAGCTCTAAAAGTGTGCTGTGGCAGGAACTGAAAGCTTAGCTTTGAAAGGATTTTGCCATTGTTTCATTATTGGCATTGTGATTGAGATCACTACTTGACAATATAAAATTTTAGGAGCATGAGAAGAATATAACAAATGTACTTCTGCCTTGTCATAAGAACTGATGTAAATCTGTGTGGCATCTAGCAGGAGAAAGCCTTCTTGTTTTGCTCTGGCATCAGTGAACAGCACTGTCAACCCACACCACTTTCTTTGTGTCCTGAAGCTGAGTAAATCCTCTTGTGAGGAGCTCTCTGCTGGACTGAAAAGTTGGGCTAAATTGGAAGGTTTTGGAGAAGGCGAGGGAGATAGGTAAATAGGCATCAACTAATGTTTTTTTTCTTATCCCTCAGTACTTTGAGATCCTCTTGCGATATTAAGTACTCAGTTCTGTTTATTAATGCTTATAAAGATACATTAACATCTTTGATATGCAGATTTGTGACCTGCATGAAGGAGTTTAGTTTGAATTCTAGATACCTTCTGTGTATTATTGGGAATACAATTCAGGATGCTGAGCAGGTCTTCTGAGAGTACTTTTCTGTCGCCAGTGGAACTGAAGGAAGCAATTAAGCCTGATCCATAAAACAAGTTCAGGGAGTTAACTGTGGCCTTCTCACAAGCCTTTGGATCAGGAAGAAGATTTTCTGCATGTCTTGAAAACTGCGTGTTTGTCTCTGGATTGAGAGGAGAAGGTGACACACATCTGTTCTAACACTGCAGAGTCCAAATAGCAGCTTTTATGCTGTTGTTGCTCCCATATTGTTGATTTTGTGGCAAAGTGGAATTTAAGTATTGGCTAAGTATTAAGTTGCTTATTTTGACTGATTTTTCCTGCTAAATCTTGAAGGATTTTGACCTGACTTTAGTAGTCTGAGATACTCGGTAGAGGAGACTGGTAGATACTGTAGGTTGTAGTGGTATTTCACAGTGCTATACATTGTATATTGCAAATACCATATAATTTAGGTCCTTTGACTGTCTTGTGCTTGCATCAAAGTATCATTCTATATCTGAAATTATTTATTTTTTTATTATTTTAAATAGGCTGTGAAGTTATTTTTACCCCTTTCCGGAACGTTGCTTTTCAGAATGTAAAATTGGTATGCAACTTTGCTTTTACAAAAGCCCTTCTTCATTTTCAGTAGACTGATACGTATTGTTTTGATGCAGAGTCTAGCTCTAGTGATCGCCTCTTGGCTTCAATGTTGGATGGTCATAGTAAGCTTGATAGGCATTTGAAAGTCACTTGACCAAGGGCAGGCAGGTGGAAACTCCACGTGCTGCACTGTTTCCCTGTCAACGTGGACAAAAGTGGCCAGGAAGAGTTATTAGAGTTATTCCAGCTCCTTACATGAGACTCCCTCTGTTTCTGTCCCTGGCTGTAGGGGTCTGAGTTTTAATTTTGCATAATGCAGGAGCTATCAGTTTTAAAGACATCTAGAAGATCTCTTATCTGAAAGCAGATTTTAGGAGATCTCAGCAGAAGACCTTTGACTGTAATTTTCTCCCTCCTTATTTTGTAAATAGCATCAATATCCATACAGACCTTCCTTCATAGAATCATAGAATTGTCCAGGCTGGAAGGGACCTCCAAAGGTCATCTAGTCCGACCTCCACGCAGTCAGCAGGGACACCCCCAACTAGACCAGGTTGCCCAGGGCTTCATCAAGCTTCATCTTGAATATCTCCAGGGATGGGGCCTTAACTACCTTCCTGGGCAACCTGTTCCAGTGCTCCACCACCCTCACAGTAAAGAACTTTCTCCTAATCTCCAATCTAAATCTGCTCCCCTCCAGCTTAAAGCCATTGCCCCTCGTCCTATCACTACAGGCCTTTGTAAACAGGCTCTCCCCAGCCTTCCTGTAGCCCCCTTCAGGTACTGGAAGGCCGCTATTAGGTCTCCCCGAAGGCTCATCTTCTCCAGGCTGAACAACCCCAGCTCCCTCAGCCTGTCCTCGTAGCAGAGGTGCTCCAACACCCTGATCATCCTTGTGGCCCTCCTCTGGACCCGCTCCACCAGGTCCATATCTCCTATATTGAGGGCTCCAGACCTGCCCAAAATACTCCAGGTGAGGTCTCACCGGAGCAGAGTAAAGAGGAAGAATCACCTCTCTGGACCTGCTAGCAATGCATCTTTTGATGCAGGCCAGGATGTGATTGGCTTTCTGGGCTGCAACTGCACACTGCCTGCTCATGTCCAGCTACTCATCCACCAGCACCCGCAAGTCCCTTTCCTCAGGAATGCTTTCTAATACTTCACCCCCAGTCTGTACTGATGGCGAGGATTGTTCCGGCCTAGGTGCAGAACCCTGCACTTGTTCTTGTTGAACCTCATGAGGTTCACCTGGGCCCACCTCTCCAGCCTGTCCAGGTCCTTCTGGATGACATCCCATCCCTCTGGGGTATCAACAACACCACGCAGCTTGGTGTCATCTGCAAACTGGCTGACGGTGCCTTTAATCCCTTTGTCTATATCTTTGAAAAAAATATTAAACAGCACCGGTCCCAGCACGGACCCTTGAGGGACACCAATTGTCACTGCTCTCCATCTGGACTTTGAGCCATTGAGTACCACCCTCTGGATGCGACCATCTAGCCAGTTCCTTATCCACTGAACAGTCCACCCATTAAATCTGTACCCCTCCAATTTGGCAAGCAGGATGTTGTGGGGGACCATGTCAAAGGCGTTGCAGAAGTCCAGATAGATCACATCCATAGGTCGTCCATTATCTACTGACCTAGTCACTTTATCATAGAAGGCCACTAGGCTCATCAGGCAGGACCTGCCCCTAGTAAAGCCATGTTGGCTGTCCTGAATCACCTCTCTGTCCTTCATGTGCCCAAGCATGGCATCTAGAAGGATCTGTTCCATGATCTTCCCAGGCACAGAGGTGAGGCTGACAGGTCGGTAGTTCCCAGGGTCCTCCTTTCTACCCTTTTTAAAAATGGGTGTGATGTTTCCTTTCTTCCAGTCTTCAACAGAAATTGTAGAGCTTGGGAGTGTTTTATTTTTCCACATGATAATTTTAATTAAGGATTATTTTCCTTGTATGTAAAGCCAACATGTTAAAAATAAAAAAAATCTAAGTGACTTGCCGTAGTGCTGTTCGAGCCCATACTAGCATGTGATCTTCCTGAGTACACTGCAAGGACAGCTTAGAGGGCTGGATGCGGCGTTGTCTGGGAGGATGAATAAATGAACCCAGGTATCCCTGGGTGCTTTCACACAGAGGGAGGAGCAGGACAGCTGCAGTGAGCCATTCCATTTACATGTTCTCTGTGTTACTCTGTCCTGTTGCTGTTCAGTCTCATCGGTCTTGTTCTTTGTTTGACAGTTGTAGATTTCTTTGGCAAGCTGTGAAAACCAAGGAATGTAGGAGTGAGGCAAAAGGCGAAATTTGAGTGTTCTGTCTGATAGCTCTTGACTGTCAAACCTAATGGCAGCTCCTCAACTAAAATTAGTGAAAGGTGTGATTAGCATTTCTTAAAATGAGCTGTGTTTGTCAATTTACTCCTACTACAATTCCATTCAGAACTTGCTGTATAGGCTCTCTTAATATGATCACACTGGATTGTGTAGTCTGAAGATCAAAATGTGTTTGTAGTGAAGCTGAAAACATGCTGTAGAGTCATAAGTTACCAAAAGATCTTTAGATTCAGTGATGCCACAGTACAGATATTTTCTGGAAAAGCATCACATCCCACAGGGAGATATTAGCATAATAGTGCTAATCCAAAAGTTTGGCTTTTTCATAAGGGACTGAATAGGAGTCAATTAGAAAAAGAAACAGTAGATCTCATGCAGTACATCTTAGGTCAGGATTTCCCATATTATTAGTGGCATTGCTACTGAGGATATTTATGCTTGAGAATTTTACCGACTGCCTGGACTCTGAAGGTGCTAATGAATCAAAATGTAGGTTAAATGACTCAGTGCATCAACTTCTAGGATGAAAAAGTAAAACTACCAATGTAGAAAGGGATGTGTAATTGCATTCTTAAAGGACTGAAGAAAATAAGTCTTTAACTTGTATTTTAGAGCTTATATGATTCTAAAATAACATAAAACAGCCCAGGTTGGAAAGGTCCAACCTTTCATGGGAAAGGGAGCCAAGATGAGATGATTTACTGAATTTCACTGAATTTTTTTAGAGTTGGAAGGGACCATAGAGATCATCTAGTCCAACTCCCCTGCCAAAGCAGGACCACCCACAGCTTGTCAGAGCATGTTACTCAGGAGCATCCAGGCGGATCTTGAAAATCTCCAAAGAAGGGGACTCCACGACCTCCCTGGGCAGCCTGTTCCAGGGCTCCGTCACGCTCACCCTGGAAAAAGTTCTTCCTCATATTCAAGTGGAACCCTTTATGTTCCAACTTGTGCCCATTGCCCCTTGTCCTCTCAGTGGCAACTACTGAAAAGAGTCTGGTTCCCTCCTCCTTCAACCCACCCTTGAGATACTTGTAGGCGTTAATAAGGTCTCCCCTCAGCCTTCTCTTCTCCAGACTAAAGAGTCCCAGCTCTCTCAGTCTTTCTTCATAAGGGAGATGCTCCAATCCTTGAATCATCTTTGTAGACCTATGCTGGACTCTTTCCAGTAGTTTCCTTCCTTTTTGAAGACTGGAGTGATGTTGGCCTTCCTCCAGTCTTCAGGCACCTCTCCTGTTCTCCATGACTTTTCAAAGATGATAGAGAGTAGCCCAGGGATAACATCTGCCAGCTCTCTCAGCACTCGCGGGTGCATCCCATCAGGGCCCATGGACTTATGAATGTCCAGTTTTGTCAAGTGGTCCCAGCACCCTGTCTTGTTGTGTCTTGAAAACCTCCAGCGATGGGGACTCTGCCACCTCCCTGGGGAGGTTGTTGCAGTGATTGTTCTCACTCTAAAAATTTCTTTCCCATATTGAGATGAAACCTCTCCCAGTGCAACTTGTACCTGTTGCCCTTTTCCTTTTACATGTGGCTCCTTGTGAAGGGAGAGCCTTCATCCTCTTCGTAGCCACCTATTAAATACTGGAATACTGTGATGAGAGTCCCCCTGAACCCTCTTCTCCGGGAAGAAGAGGCGCAGCTCCCTCAGTCTTTTATCACAGGGCAGGTTCTTCAGCCCTTTGATCATCTCCTCCTGTCCACTCTGTGTCTTTCTTGATTTGAGGAGACCAGAACTGGACACAGTACTCCAGTTGTGGCCTGAGAAGCATGGAGCGGTAGTAATGTCACTGTAGCAATGCCCCTGTGGATGCAGCCCAGGATCCCATTTGCCTTCGTTGCTGTGGGCAATGTGGGGAGGTATGGCTAGTGACCCAGAGCACAGAAGGTATGGGTTGTGACCCAGAGCAGACAGCTGCCTGTAGTATGCTGTGTGTCAGCCACTGCATGTGCTGTAACAGCCTGCCTTCTTTCAAGAGGATGCTCTCTTGCTCTCCTGAAGGACAAACGGCTCTGTCCCCCAGTTCTTCATCCCAAGTGTCTGATGTTTCTTATTAGGAGACCTTTTATCTGAGCCCTTGATGCCTTTTTTTGGGCTCTGAAAATCAATCTGTCATCTTGAGCAAGTTCCTTCGGATTGTTTTTTCTCTCATCTGTTTGGCATAGATCACATCAGTGTCCTTTTTGTTGCTAGGGAGTTTGGGTTTTTTTAAATCTAGTAACTCTGAGACACAACAAAACAAAAACAGTGTGATTAAAATAGCCTTGAGTGAAACTCTTTCCAGAGCCTTAACTCAAAAAAGCTGGAAAAAATATCATTATACCTTGATTCTTGGGAGGACTTAAAGATTAAGTCTCTCCCAAAGACAGCCAGTCTGGAGCAGAGAAATGCTCCCTTTATCCCGAGTGGTCCCCTCTGCTCAGCGTCATCTTCATCCCTCTGCCCGAAGAAGGAATCTTTATAGGGTGATTTTAGGCATCCAACATTGAGTAACAAACCATATGGTCACCTTTTCTGAGAGAGGAAATGCTTTGGACAATTACTCTTTATCCTTTTTAGGCTTCTCAAAAGTTTTCTTAAAAATAGTTGTTGATACAACTTTTTCTATAGCAAAAGGGTTCCAGTAGCTTTCTCTTCTATTCTGACCAGCCTTTAGAACTAACACAGAACTAGTAATAATATCATAATCACTATCCTTAACCAAATCTCGAATATGAGATAATCTAATGTTTTCTTTGGCTAGAAAATAATACAGTATGCTGAAGGAAAGGAAGAGGTACTCTCATCCAGTCAAAGTTGATTTTGAAATAGTTGTGGACTTCTGTTATGAACATGCTGAATTGAGGCAGCGAGGTGCTTGCACAGTTGTTCTCCTATGTTTTTGCCTTGTAATTTGTGGCTTTAAATCTGAATGTCATCCTGACGCCCAACTCGGTGATTTCATGTTACACCAGTGATGTTAATACTAAACTGTACTGTAAAGACTCGCTGTCAGTACTAGTGGAGCTGGGCAAGTCTCCTGTATGCTTTCATCCAGCCCGTCTACAGGCTCAGCCTCCGTGTAGCTGGGTGCTGTCCTGTGCTCCCTCACAGCTTGTGTACACATTTGAGGGCTGTAATTGTTGTTAGGCTTCCTGTTCAGGCACTTTGTGTTCCTTGTCTCTCAAATTGCGTTTCATTTCTCCCTGTAAACTCTTTGGTGAAACAATTGCTATCTCTTGGGGGAAGGAAGAGGAATTGTTCTGACTTATGGATGATGTTAAAAGGCTTTATCCCTTGAACAATAGAAAGGCTTGAACTAAAAATGACAGGCCCTCTCAGTGTAAAGCCATCATGTCCTTTCATTTTGTCCTGTGTTAATAAATTAATTGCTGCAGTACTCACTAGTCCTGCCTTTTCACCCACAGCTGTTCTGCTGTCAGTAGTCCAGCAATCTGCTGCGAAAATTAGCTTTTGTCTTACTAATGCATTAATTAATCATAGTGTTCAGTTCAATGCCATGAAGAAAAAGTAATGTTTATCCCAAATTCAAAACCTTTTCTGTAGTACTGACTTATGCTCTAATGCCAGTGGTTTGAGTCTGTGGTGCCAGCAGTACACACAGTGTAGCAGTCCCAGTGTCCCAGGGTATGTTTTAGTTTATGAGTGTGTTGATAATTATGGTAGACACAACAAATCATCTTGTGGACATTTCTTTGTCAAGAAATGTCTTTGTGCAAAAAAGAAATGTCTTTGTGTGATTTGGGCAGGGTGCTGGGCTAGTCTGAAACTTAAAACTCTTTTTGTCAGCATAATGGCATCTGTACAAAGCTTCTGATAATGTAAATACCATGGAGCAATGTGTATCTTAGAGGGCTGTATGACAGAAATTCAGAGTGAGACTGTGGCTTGGGCTTCTGGCCTCTTCTATACTATAGTCTTTCTGTTCTATTTACAGTGGTGGATAAGTTTATCTAAAAAATTTGTGTGTCTGTATATTAAAATAAACTTTTTTTTTTGTTCCCTGTCTCTTGTTGCAGATGAAGCTGCCAGTGTTATTCAATTTGGTAAATCAGCCAAGCGATCGCCTGAGTCAACTCAAATCGGGCAGTATGGGAATGGCTTGAAATCGTAGGTATAACAAAAGCCAACCTCCTGAGATTATGGAGGTTGACATAGTAAATATATTTTTAGTTTGGAGGTGCATTTTTTTTTTCCAGAAGGTAAAAAAAAAAAAAAAAAAGAAAATGAAATCTAAATAAAGATACCATGGTTTGGAACACAGGAGCTCTCTGAAGATCCACTGTAGTTCTTCAGTGGCAGAGAAGTCTGATGACATTTTTTTGCCTTTATGTTTGCACGATGCAGAGTATACAGATCAGAGCTGGAAAAAAAAATATGAAAGAGTAGGAAACAAAACCCTAATATGGCTGTGGCAGGCAGATAGTAAAATTGGAGGAAAATAGTGCTGCAGCCTCTCGCTGGGAACGTTGTCTGGTGCAAGTCAGATGCAATTAAATCTCTTCTTTTTTTCTTAAAAAAAATGCACAGAGAAGAGAAATGATGGAACGAATGAGAGGAGGGATGGGATTAAGTAGCAGACAAACAGAGGTGGGAAGGAAACCTTATTGGTTGGAGGGGATTTGCTAGGAAAGGGAAAGGTGTTTGCTGTGGTGAACTGATATCAATGGGAAAGATAGAGAACTTGTATGGCTTACTCTGGCTCTTCTGCTTTATGCTGTTCTATGTGGCTTGATTATTTATATGCATCCTGCTGGGGAAATCTGTGGGACTCTAATCTGGAGGGAGAGAAAAAAGGGAATGTAAGGGATCTTGAGATACTATTGATCAAGGTACAGTGCAGGACAGATCCCAGATCCTGCCTGTGCACTTGCAGGACAGATCTCTGTCCTGTTCTTCAACCTTGAGCAAGAGGGCTACTATATTACAGCTGAGAAATGCAGACTGATGCCTAAACATACGAAAGGTGAGCTTAAGTATCCCATTAAGGCAATCTAAAGAGAACTGAATTGACAGAACACTAATCCTTCCTTTGATGTAATGTTAATTTTTCTCAATTAACATTTTTTGGATGAGTTGGGTAATAGGATACAAGAAGATGGGGAACGCATTATTGGGATAGGAGAGTGGGGAGGAGGTTTTGTGAGAACTAGCTGCTAAGTTGCATTAGCTGAAGTGTGGGTGAGTTTTTTGAGTTAGACATTAGGAAATAAATTGTCTGTCTCCCAGAAACTTCCCTGCTGCTATTCATTCTGTGTACAGCAAAAAGAAGTGTGCATTCACTTTCTCACGTTTCTACTCATATTTGAAGGTTATTGTCACATCTCACCTTAGTCAACTTCTTTGGATTTTAAAAAAAAAAAAAAAATTTAACTTTTTATGTGGTGTGAGCCTGGAAAGCTGGCCTGTACTTCTGCACATTTTAATTCTAACTAGCATTAAATGTTTTGAAATATCATGAAAATGTCCAGATTAAGATGCCTTTTGAAAGGAATGAGGTGTTTAGAGAGAAATGGTAGTTGCCTTTTAAGGACGCCTTCTGTCTTACCTGATTTTGGCATCTCATTGAACATAATAGGAAGAAAAATCAGTAATGTGGTCTGCTTTCTAGAAAGTCTTGTGCATCAGGTGTAACATGCAGCCTGAAATCTGTCTCTAGGGGTTCCATGCGGATTGGGAAGGATTTTATCCTGTTCACAAAGAAAGACAACACCATGACTTGCCTCCTCTTGTCACGGACATTCCATGAGGAAGAAGGCATTGATGAGGTTTGCATCTACTTTGTTGTAATGAACTAATGTGGTAAATACTTTCTCATCTGAACTTCCCCAGCTCTCACATAAGTGTCTCTGTTGGTTACCACTCTGGTGTATAATTTTCTCAGTGTATGATTTTTCTCTTGGTGATATGCTTGTAGGGGTTCTGCAAAGTCCTTAAAGTTTGTTGTTTTTTTTTTTTTCCTTTTGATCTTAATTCTGTTTGAGAGGTCTCTCTAAACTACAGCAACTTTGAGGGATGTGTTTCAATCACTTAAAGTTGCATATGCTGAGTTCAGGAATGCCCAGACTTCTTGCATTTTCCTTTTCCCACAAATTTGAGTTTGAGATGCATTTAAATTTATTGCTCTGATTTGATTTTCTGTAGAAAATTAAAGGTGTGAAGGTGTGATTGAAGCTGCTACCCACAGATCATAAACTCCAGATGTCTCTTCTTTCTGATCTTTTTTTTTTAATTAAAAAAACAATGTGGTTCTACCTATCGAAAACTTATTTTAATAGATAATTCAGGCATTGTTGTTCTGTATCCAGGCTCTTAACATGGAAGTATTTTTGTGCTCAAGCACAAGTACTTTCCAGGCAAGGCCAATAATAAAAAGCTTTAAATTTGCACTGGGATAGTATCTAAGAAAGCATTTTACGTTCTGATAGTAGAAGGAACTCTACAAAGAAGCTGTTGAGGAAGCAGTGCTTGCTAGTGGCAGCTGATGGCTGAAGCAAGTTAGGAAAAGTGATGTAGTTCCCACAGCGGCTCTGGAGCCAGAAATTCTGGTTTGACCTCAATTCTAGAGTGAGGGCGGGATTTGCTGTCCTTGATAGGCAACTGCAGTCTATAATTCTATCTGTGTTTTTGTTCTAAATGACAGAGAACATTCTATAAAAATAAAAAGTGAGGTCAGGATAAATGTAAGTGAGGGATATTTGAGTTCAAGAGGAGTTAAGCACAGAGGCTGATGTGTTTAAAGAAGCAAAGTTTGGGTGATTTTTTTAGTATTATGAAAGTTGTTACAAGAAGAGGGGAAAAAAGACCCGAGTGTGTGAGTAGCCAGTACCGTACAGGTTACTTGGGAATGGTTCAGTCTAAGACTAGATGTTGTAGGCAGGCAACTCAGAGACTGTCAAAGATAGGTCCTCAAGCAGTTGACAGATGTGCAAACCACTGAAAAGCTAGGAGGGATTCGTGCAGTGAGTTAGGGGGCTGTTGGAAGGGGTAAGTTGCTTGGCTGTGATACACAGAAGGGGCTGACTGGAGTGGCTGAGCCTGAGTTGCTCTTCCTACAATGCGATTTGCAGGTCATCGTTCCCCTGCCTACCTGGAATGCACGAAGCCAGGAGCCTATGACTGACAACATGGAGAAGTTTGCTATTGAGACAGAGTTAATTTACAAGTATTCCCCATTCAAATCGGAACAGGAAGTGACGGAGCAGTTTAATAAGATCCGTGGGGAGAAAGGTATGTATGGACGATGCTGGTCATGGCCAAGGTATTTGGGGTTTGGCTGGGATTCACCTGATCAACTTGTTACTTGCTCAGGCACCCTGGTGATCATCTTTAACCTCAAGCTAATGGATAATGGAGAGCCAGAGCTGGATGTGACTTCTGACCCCCGAGACATTCAGATGGCAGAAACATCCCCAGAGGGAACGTAAGTGTGATGAGTGTCACAGGCCTTTGGACTCGATCAAATTAAATTACTATTACTAAATTACTATTAACTGTATGTATGTGTTTTTTAAAACCTTCTCTTCTATGGTGAATCGGAGAATTTAGAAGACCTTTAGTTTGTTCTTTAGCAGTTTGGAGTTTACATGTGTAAATGGACCACAGGCATTGCGGTTGTATATTTGGCTTGAACGCCTGTGTGGGCTTTTCTCAGCTTAGTCAGAGCGGCAAACTCGATGCCCTTCTTTGGGCACCCTAAAACAAAGGATTCCTAAGCTATATTTTTACATTCATCAAATAGGTTTTAATCAGAATGACAGCTGGTTGTGAGACTATGCTGCTCTGAAACTGATGTTCAGTTTTGTGATTTAATAAACCCTGGCAAAATGCGAGGTGCTGGGCAGGTCATTCTCCACAAGTGAGTGGTACAGGTGGGTGCAGGAGAGGCATATTGCCATGTCTTTCTGGGAGCAGGGGCTGGCTCCTGGACTTCCCTGCAGAGGGAGAAGAAGGGTGTGCTCTGAGGGCCCTGTTCAGGAAGAGCTGAGTGTTTGCCGAGTTGTTCACTTGTAACCTGAAAAAGAAAAGCTGAGCTGAGCCAAATGATTGATTAAATCCTAGAGCTTAATGGGACCAAACTTTACTTCTTTTATGAGATCATATGCTTCTTCCCTGAAGTGCTTGAATTTCCTGTAATAATAGTTTCAAACACTGTAAACCTAGCTATTTTTGTATGTAGTAGCTTGTTGTTACTGGGTACACAGGTGCAGCAAACTCCTCGGGAACCTCCAGGGATCTAATATACTTCTCAGTTTCTTTAATGCCTGGAGGTGAGCTTTCATGATAACCACAACAATCCTTAAAGTTTGTTGTTAACTGCAGTTTAACTGCGGTTTAACTGCGGTTTAACCCCAGGTGGCAACCAGGACCATGCAGCTCTTCACTCAGTCCCCAACCCCACAGTGGGACAGGGGAGGAGAGTTGGGAAAAAAGGAAACCTTGTGGTTTGAGATAAAGACAGATTAATCTAACAGTAATGGAAGAGAAGATAATAATAACGATAAAACAATATACAAAATGAGTGGTGCAGTACAATTGCTCACCACCCGATGATTGATTGCCCAGCCCATCCCAAGCAGCAATTGCAGATTCCTGCCCCCCAGCCAACCTCCATTCATATACTGAGTATGATGTCTATGGTGTCCATGGTATGGAATGTTCCTTTGGCCAGCTTGTCCTGTCTGTGTGCCCTCTGCTTCTATGGGAAGCAGAAAAAGACTTAATATAAGCATTATCTAGCAACAATTAAAACAACATCTGTTATCAACATTATTCTTATACTAAGTCCAAAACACAGCAGCTACTGAGAAAATTAACTCTATCCCAGCTGAAAGCAGGGCAGCACTGATCACAAGGAGGAGCTGCTTCTTTCTGACTTTGTGATACCATTTCTGTGTGTGATCAGTGCAGTTTGTCAGAGAGTACTCCTGACTAACCAAAGGGTAAGAGAATGCTCTAGTGTCACAGTTTAGGCTGGGCTGTCACTAATGCACAACAGAGTGTCCCTTCCCTTCCCAGAAGGGAAAGGAAGAGAGAATAAAGGAGACTTACGGGTTAAAAAGAAAAAATAGTAACATTGATGAGAAAATAGTGAAATATATACAAAACCTATATGAAGCTCCCAGGATGACGATCATGTTGCTGGCAGGCACTGGGAAAATCCCAGAATGGACTCAGTGGCAGACAGGAACTGGATTCAGGAACGCAGGGATAGGGATCAAAGGCAGGCAGAGTCCTCCTTAGATGTCATCCATTGAAGAAAGAGACTGACCATTTGATCCCTCAGCTTTATACTGAGCATGGCAGATGGGATGGAACACCCCCTTGGTCAGTTTTGGGTCACCTCTCCTGTCCCCTCCTCCCAACAGGTGCAACCCTGCTATGCTCTTCTGCTTCCTGCCCCCCAACTTTGTGCACAACAAAGTTAGCTGACCTTGGTTGTTACAGCAATAAGTATAGGCCAGAGCCTCTCTGCACGCCATTCCTAGGTGTTCACTATAAAAGTCAGATGTTATCACTCTGGGAGCAGACATTGTCTGAAAAACATACCATTAATTCCAGGGAGTGCAGTTTAGTTACCAGACACTTAACTGAAAAGATTACTGAAAAGAGAATTGGTTTTGTTGTATCTCAAACCAGGACATTCCACTCCTTATTCCATACTATTTACGTCATGTTCAGGTCACTATTGCTTGTTGTCTTCAAATATATATATAGAACACTAATTTATGATTTATCTTTCTACACAAAAGTTCATTAAGTTCATTTAGTCCATGATTGCAGATTTCCATCTGCAGGTTGCTGTGGCAGTCTCTAAGGGCAGGATAAATGGTATAAAATTTATTGTGGGTCATGCCTATGGGTAGCATGTCCACCTTGAAGAGGTTGCTGGACACCACTTCATGGAGCTGGCTCTGGTTTCATCACCACTATGTGATCCTGACAAGCACTTACTGAACACTGTTAGTATTATGTAGCAATTAACATCATACAACTCAAAACTGAGAATTCTCACCCAGGGTTAAATTTCTTTGAGATATACATTGGTCTTCTCCATTCCTCAGCATCACCCACCAAGTACATCCAGGTCCTTGAGCAAAAACAATCTCACGAATGGGTTTGCCTTTGCCTAAAGTGGGAAAAACCCAAACAGTTTCCCCAGCATGTTCCTTTCATGGACCACAGGGACTTTATCCCCTTCTGCAATATGTAAAAGGTCTGATTTAACAAGACCAGCTTGATTGATGGATCCACTGTTGTTAACCCCTAGCAGTCCCACCACACAAGGGTCATCTGAAAGACCAGGTAATGTAGACAGCTGTGTGATGTCCTCAGTCTCCACAACTGGTATTCCAAAAGCCCACTGATACCCTTTTGGATCTTTAAAGTACCCTCTCCTGAGGTAGTCTATGCCAAGGATGTCTGGAGCATCTGGGCCCGTCACAATGGGGTGCTTCTCCCATTTATTCCCAGTTTGACTCACTTTGGCCTCCAATACAGACAGTTCTTGAGATCTTTACCATCACTCCAGAAATAAAGACGGATTCTGCCCCTTTACAATTTGATGGCAAGTGTCCACAAGGGCTTTATACCTTAGTGGCTCTCCTGTGCTAGGTCACTGAATCCACGCAGTCCAATAAGCTCAGTTGTCCCTTTCCTCCTCCTGGCTGGAGATGGGACACCTCTAATACTGAGCATAGATTAACAGATGGGTTCACACAACGTGTGTAGGTATCAACAAATGAGTTTATAGTCAAACTGGAGAACTGCTCGCTGTAGTGCTTCATTGATGCTTCCATGGCCAGGTTTCCTAACTGCCTGGCTTGTCTACTAGCGAAGTCTGTGGTATTGGCAACATTATCTCAGGACCAGAGCAACCAGGTGATGTGTCTCACCTTCATGTCAGCTTAAAGTCCTTTCTCACATTTCACAAGTTCTTCATAGATAAGGATCGAATGGTTATCTTTGTCTAATTTCTCCTGTGTTAACGCTGCCCAAGAAGGACCCTTTCTCTCATCTCCATGATCCGATAAGAGTCACCTGTGACTCTTCCAGGCCACTGGAAGGAGCTGCTTCTTCCTGACCTTATGATACCATTGCTGTGTGTGATCAGTGCGGTTTCTGTTGGAGCATACTGCTGACTAACCAAAGGGTAAGAGAATGCACTAGCAAGTGGAGCACAGTGTTAAGCGGTGAAATACATAGGTTTGACCTTTATTCAAAACATACATACAAAATCAACATTAATCAAAACATACAGCTGTATTCAAAACTTCTTTCTCAAGCTACAGTAATATGTGCATCGGTGTTTTATGACAGTGTTTAAGGTGTACAGCTCAATAGAAAATCTCTGTAGAAGACATAGGCAGAAAAAATTTAGAAGAAAAGTCTCACTTAATGCAGCTGCATGGTAATAAAATAGAAAGGCCTTTTTCTTGCTGAAGGTTGTCACTTTGGTATGTTTTGAAGTAGATGGCTATGAGCTGAGATGGTCACAGTTAGAGCTGCATAAGGCATGAATCCTGCCATAGGTTCTTAAAACACATTGGGGTAGTGCAGAGCAGTGTGGGGAGGTGCTACGGTTGGTCATTTTGCTCCTGGGTAGCAGTGTATTGGGAAATCAGAATCTTACAAGTTTTGTCCATGGAAAAACTTGTTCATTTGGGTTGGATAGAGGAGAAGACTTTGGCAGTAGTATGTCATAGCTCTTTTTAATTTGAGGGAATGAAAGGAACAAAAATGGTAAAGGAGAGGAAGCAGAATGCAGACTGAAAGCAACTCCAAGGTGAACACTCTGAAGAGACACTGGTTACTCAGGGGGTAAACTAATGGAGTCATCTTTGGGTGTCGTGGATCGGGCTGGGAGAATGTCTGTTGGTGGTCCTAGGAGGAAATGCTGAACAAACTGCTCAGTCTCTGTAAGCATCTCTCTCTTGCAGAAAGCCTGAGCGCCGCTCCTTCCGTGCCTACGCTGCTGTGCTTTATATTGATCCCAGAATGAGGATCTTCATAAATGGACACAAAGTACAAACCAAACGACTTTCGTGCTGCCTGTACAAGCCGAGGTGAGTGTTTTACCCAAAGTCTGCAGACGTGTGAGACCTTTTGGAGTTTCCTTACAGAAAAGGATTAGTGTTTTTTCTCTCCAGGTGTATCTTGCACAATTCCATGTTACAGCCACAGAAACAGATCATAAGAAGATGCGATGTGGTATTGACATCATGGAAAAAGAAGTAGATAGTGAAAAACCTAATGCCTTTGAAAATCGCATGAGTAATTTGTGCAATTTGGCTCCCTTTCAGGGCAAACAAATTAAGGTACTGGTTGTTCAAAATGCCATATCCATACAAAACTGTTGTGGAACTGTTTTTTTTTTCTTCTTTTTTTTGGTAAAGTAGGACAAGTAAATACATCTGGTGGGTGTTAGAATTATCTAAAAGAAACTAGACTGACCACTCTGAAACAGTTGCTTTGAAATTAACTTTTATGTGTGGCTGATCTAGGTTTGAATAGAGCTTGGGAAATATCTTTCCCTAACTTCCTTTTAAATTCCCTTAAACAAAAAATTTGACAGTGGGCTGAGGTGGGCTGACAGTTGGCTTAACAGGGACTGGAAAAGGTTATAAGGACGGGAGGAGAAAGGAAAGCATGTAATTAGGTTTGCCCGAGGCAACATGGTAATGTTTTTCTGTCCCTGGGAGCACAGGCTGTATTCTAGATAACATAACATGATTTGTCTAAATAAAATAGTAGTAATTATAAAATTATTTGAGTATTTGAGGATTGTCTTAATTTAGCATTTCAGATTGCAGTAGTGTTTCAATAGTATGGGCCCACTATCAACCTGTTGTGTACTTTAACTAACTGCAATCCAATGCCATGCCACTGATTTCTGCCCCAAGAGCCTGGCCACTTTTCAGCTTAAAGCATGGTCTGTCTGTCAAGCTTGTACTTCATAGAATCATAGAATGGTTAGAATTGGAAGGGGGAAATGCCCCTGCCCTGGGCCGGGTCACCTCCCACCAGACCAGGTTACTCAAAGCCCCGTCCAACCTGCCCTTGAACCCCTCCAGGGATGGGGCAGCCACAGCTTCTCTGGGCAACCTGGGCCAGGCTTTCACCACCCTCACAGCAAAGAATTTCTGCCTGAGATCTCATCTCAATCTTCCCTCTTTCAGTGTAAAGCATTATGCCTCCTATCACTACACTCCCTGATAAAAAGTCTCTCTCACCTTTTCTGTAGGCCCCCTTTAGGTCCTAAAAGATTGCTGTAAGATCTCCCTGGAGCCTTCTTTTCTCCAACCCCAGCTCTCTCAGCCTGCCCTCATAGGCAAGGTACAAAACAAGACCTTCTATTAAGTAAAAATCCTCTAGGCTACTAAAAAGTTTTCCTTTCCCAAGGATGAAATTAGAAAAATTCTATAAAGATCCTGGGCAGTATTTCAACAATTAAATATCAAAATGGTGATCATCTTCATATATTGATATGTTGATTTCCAGATGTCTGACACTCCAAGAATCTTCTCCCAAGACACTATTATTTCTTTATTTCTTCTCTAACGTTTTCGTGCCTTTCTGCTACTAAATGTTATTATTTTTACTTCTCCTCTGGCTTCCGCTTAAACAACTTACCAATTATAATAAGAAACAATGAGTGCTATGTAGTCTGCTTTAATGGATTTAACTGAGGTGCTAACAAAAATTTAAGTTAATAACAGAAAAGTTTACAATTTACAGAAGAATCATAGAATTGTCTGGGTTGGAAGGGACCTTTCAGATCATCTAGTCCAACCATCAATCTACTCTGATAAAATCCATCAGTAAACCATGTCTCTAGGCACTGTGTCAGCCCATCTTTTAAATACCTCCAGGGATGGTGCCTCAACCACTGCCCTGGGATGCCCGTTCCAAGGCTTAATAATCCTTCCAGTGGAAACATTTTTCCTAATATCCAATCTGAACCTCCCCTGGCACAACTTGAGGCCTTTTCCTCTTGTCCTATCGCCTGTGACTTGGGAGAACAGACCGACCCCGGCCTGGCTACACCTTCCTTTCAGGGAGTTGTGGAGAGCAAGAAGGTCTCCCCTCAGCCTCCTTTTCTCCAGGCTGAAGACTCCCAGCTCCCTCAGCCGTTCCTCATAAGACTTATTCTCCAGTCACCGGCTTCATTGCCTTTCTCTGGACTTGTTCCAGAGTGGAAGGAGTGAGTGGAAACTCACTCTTTTACCTTCACACGCTTGAGCAGAGCTTAGTCTGCCCTGGGTGGCTCTTTCCCAAGGCAAAACAAGTAAATTGGTCCATTCTGAGAGTGGAATTACTCTGCTTTTATAGCTATAGGCGATTTTTTTTCTCTCTGGACCTTCTGAAAAGGGTTGCTTATTCCCTGGATTTTTTCTTCAGAGTTGGAGACAGTGTTCTGCAGATTAATATTGCTCCCCTGCACTTGTACAGGGACTCTGGTTTCTATGGGGACACACAGGAGGGTTAGCGCCATTAGGCTGTTCCTGTAGAGCAATCAGTGATCTGTGTGGCACCGATGTTTGTCTCTTTAGCATAGTTGTTTTTGGCAGAGCCCCACTAGCCTAGGCCAGGTTGCTGTTGAACTTTCCTGGTCCAGCAAAGGGATGGATAACAGGCAGAGAAGGTGCTCCTGTCATACAGCCCAAGGAGGTGGTGTGCTGTACGTGGTATGTACTTAAGGGCTCTTTGCTAGTCTTTGGGAAAGTGACACAAAGCCTGAGCCAGGTGTTAATTTTATTCATGTCCTCCTGATAAAGGCCTGTGAACTACTGTAAGGGAATGCCATTCATCTGTCAGTATGGAGACACCTCTGTCTGTCCATATCACTGGTTTTATAAGAAAGTCTGTTATAAACCACCCTGGCATGCAAAGGGCAGATCACTATCTGATGGTGAGTTGACAAACAACTCCTGATTGCAGTCTTTTTACATATTTTTTGGTGAACTTTGGGCCAAGTGTCTATCTGATGCTTTTATGCCTTACATTGGCCATTGGTAGGTACAGCCATCAGCTTGTCTCTCTACCTTGTGGTCTACTTTAAAATCTGCTCAGGAGGATTGCCTTGAGGAGGTGGCGGTTCCCCTGCTACTGTAGGGCTGTAGGTCAGATTGCCTTCATCTCTGAAGGAAAAGCTGGTACCGGGGCTTGTCTGCAGGTTAATGTGTTGGTGTTAGAGAAAAAAGAATGGAGATCCATCATTGGCTGTAGGGTATTTAAGCGCCTTTACTGAAAATTGAGTGTTTTCAGCACTGTTCTTTATCAGGAGTAACCACTTGTCTTCTGAGCAGGGCACTTGTTATCATTTTGTCATCTGCCCTTTCTGGAAGCTGTCTTTCTGTGAGCAAAAGTTTCTCCACACCGTTCTCTGACATCCTGGTGGCAGGGGCAGATTGATTTTCTGCAGATCCTTCACCAGTGATGGCAGGTGTGATACCACAGTCCCAGCCTCCCTGGGAATGGCTTGTGTCTCCTGAAGGATTCCTTCCTTCTCTTCCCTCCTGCAGTAACTATTCAAGCTTATCTGCACAGCTCATGCTGCTAAACAAAAGTAACCAGGCCTTGTGCAAGGCTGTCCCTTCACAAGGGCACTCCAAGGCAGTTGTAATGAACCTCTTGAAGTTGGGAGAGTGTCTTTTACTGTCGTGTCCAGCAGACTTCTTACTTGTTTGGCCTGTTTCTGTATGTCTTGTTAGATACGCTCTTCCGGACCACTTGAATAGGTGCTTTTCTGACTATGACTGAAGTAATTCAGTGTTGGTAAAGAAAGTGAAACAGGAGGGTGGGCATGGTGATGGCGCATGGTGATGGCCCATGGTGTCTATCTGGGTGCTTTGGCTAAATTCTGGAGGGGTTTATTTTTTCATAAAGACTTCTTTGGGATGGAATTTTCCTCTCAGTACATCCAAAACCTTGTGTTTTAAGGCAGTTTGAGTTCTTGCAGGCTCTGATCACCTTCCTTGGTGTCATCTCTCTCTTCTTTCCGAATTACGTGCCTCTGCACAGAAGTGCTGCATACTCATGAGCTTCTGCCTCGTATACACACCTTTCTCCTTCACTCTGCAGGAGTCACTCAGATTGTGATCTGCATTTGGCCACTGCAACTCCAGCCCAGTTTACCAGGCTGTCAGTCAGATGTGTAGCATACAGAAATATCCTGAAACTCAAGGCTCCATTCAGAGAGTTGCTCTGCCACTTGGGATGTGAGCTAGCCCTGAGTGGAGATGGGCATTGTCAGACTGCATCTGTGGGCAGCTGTTTGCAGGAGAAATCAGTAATGGGAGGTTTTTGAGTAGAAATATATATATATATTCACTCCTCCTTTCTGCTTCTGAAGAAGTTATTCCGCTAAACCTTGGAATTTCCTCCAAGAATATGGATATATTTTGCCCCTACCAGCAGAAAGTGGGTATTGTGGTTGCATCTACTACTAAAGCATCTCTGGTTTAAAACATTTCTACCTAACTGCATCCAAAAGCGCCCAGTTTCTGATATGTAAACCTCCTTCTCCATTTATTGAATCTATTGAGAAGAGTGGAGTAGCATCTGGAGACCTTATTCTGTCATACAGTGATGAAATATTGGTTTGACCTTACTGCTGAGAGTTTGCTGATTAATAAGTTTTGATCATCACAGGATGTACAAATATACTTCAAACCGTTTCAAGACCCGTGCAGAGCAAGAAGTGAAGAAAGCAGAGCACATGGCAAGGATAGGTGAGTCTTCAGGGTATGCATGCATCCTGATTTTGCTGTAGTGAAGGAGACAACTGAAAGAGGCTGCCTTGCTGGGTATGAAGTTGTCTGCTTCTGTGATCATTATGGTTGCTCAGGAGATTACTTAATACAGTGAATACAGATGACCCAGACCTCCATGCATTAGAAGGAATGTAAATTGTTCCCTAAGACCACTTCCTCTGGGGAATACATGTACAGAATAACCCCTGGAGTCACAGTTGTCTTGCCCTTGCTCCATCTGAAGCCTGGCTAAGCTGCTGCCCTGTTACCCCACAGTTCTCTCACCTTTTGCACATCATGAGCTTCTGGTTCTGTTCTTCTGCTCCTTCCCTGTTGAGACAGTTGTTCAAAATAGAGATTTTTAATCTTGACACAAAAGAGGTTGATTTGTGTGTACAAGGGAGTCCTGTTTCTTGGGGTTTTTTTCCCCTTTTGTCCATCTAGTCTTCCCTTTCTATTAAGTTCTGTACTTCTCAGGAGAAACCCAATTTGAAATTTGAATTGGATATTCACCATATAGAAATTATACAACCATATAAATATAGCATGTAACTTCATTAAATTTGCACAAATTTAACATACAAAGTGGTCTCCCTAACCCCTGATGGGGAAATGCTGTAGTGAAGGAGGAATCTTGGAAGCTGTAAGACATGTTGATCTACATCTTCTGGTAGGTTTCATAAATCAGCTTCACAAATCAGTCAGAGGCATGTGTCCTCTCTCCCTGTGTAAGAGCTGTTCTGGGCACCCATGCCTATGTGTGCAGGTCAGATACGCAAGTGGTGGTGCCGCGTTCAAGCCTGTGCTGTGATTCATTGAGGGCAGCATCATCTTTGCCCTGCCCAAAGCAAAACAGCAAAATGCAATTGTGTAAATTGATTGCTTTGTTTCCTATTCCTCCTCTGTGAATTACAACCTAATAAGATAGGCTTGAAACTATGAAGTTTTATCCTGTGCCTCAGTCCTCATAGATGAATTTATTTCTTATATTGAGTCCTATAGCCAGAGCTGGTGTTCAGCACGCACTTGCATTGCCTCCAAGAAGGTGCAAATAGCTTAGTCCATATGCAAAATAGCATAGTCCCTGAGGCCTTCGTGATGTTTAAAAGGTGAGCTTTAAGTGTCTTGTCATTGAAGAATACTGCCATTCCGTGTCCCAATGCTAATAACAGATACCATTGACGTGGAAACATGGATGCTGAGCAAAAGGCTTTGAACATGGCGGTAAAAACTCACAGCACATCTCAGACTGTTTTCTGCAAGATTTGATCACAGCCTCCAGAACTAAAATGATCTTGTAGAATTAGCCTCAGCTTCAATGGCACAGATCTCAGTTCTTTGCTTCTAGGAAAATGAATTTAATCTGTAACAACCAAGTTCTCTTGTTCTGCTGTTGTTAGAAAAGATTAATTCCTTGCCATCTCCAGCATATGTTTTCTCTTGAGGATGCACACTGCTCTTAGGAGGGGTCTTCACTAGGGAATGATTTGCAGTTTTCCCTTTCAAAACTAGGGGTGCAGTGTGAGAAATGGGAGGGGGGCCTTAGCTGAGCTAACTGCAGTTCCAGTATGCCATGGCTGCCTGCCAGGAATGTGTTGGAATCCATCATACTGTAGAACTCCACTGAGGGTTTAATGAGTCTGGAAATAGCTTATAAGCTTGTTGAACCAAAACTTACGCTAACTGAAAAATATCGGGGTGAAGGGCTGGGGGGAAATGTATGGGCAGCTGTGACTATTGGTGACATGGCTTCGGAATATGCAAGAAGAGCCACGGCTCAGGAGTGAAGACATGCATGTATTTAAGATAAAAGCCACTCTTCTTTCCCTGAGAACTCATGTGATAAGCTGTAGCATCCAGATCCCTAAGTGAGCAGATAGACCCAAGAAAAAACTACCATTCCTGGGCAAGGTAGCTGTGAAAGACCATCAGCTGCTTTTTGTGTATTTCTGAACCAAGACTGAATACTGCATTCGGTCACCTCAGTTGAAAGCATTGCCTGGTTTCAAGAAATCCTCTTAAAAGTTTGAAAAGCAAACAGACAGAAAAGGTGAGGAGTTATGTGGGTGTCCAGTACTGAAAGTCATTAACAGCTATCTTCTGCACTGGATATTAGTCTGGAGTATTTTAGTGTGTCCAGTGACTTGCTTGGCAGTACGATGGGTATGCTGTGCCTGTTGTCCCCTGGAAGGATGCAAATGTGAATTCTAGCTGCCATATGCTGCTTGTCCCACTTAGGGCATGCATTTTTGCCCACTAGGGCCTCAACCCTCAGACTTGTAACTGAATCCTTCCCCATCAGGCATGTTCAGTCGTGCCTTCTCAGTTGTCAGTGTGTTAGTGGAGCAGGTTTGACCTGTGCCCTTATGGGTCACTGCTATGTTCTTTCTTCTAGACACAGCTGCGTTTAGCCCACCAGCTTCTACCATACGAGCTTTGATTTAAATGGACCAAACGTTTTAGGCAGTCTCCAAACTCCTGTGTTTTCAAGCTAAACTTGATGATGATGACTTGATGATGAGGTTGATCACACAGTGCAGTTCTGCTGTGATGTGCTTGGTAAGCTGCTGTGAACCTCAGAGCATGCTTCTGTGGGAATTAGTGGAACAAAACTCAAATGTAACACTGCATAGAAAGGAAGTGTGATTTTTATTGTAATGGTCTAAGTCAATTGACTGTACCCTCTTAAATTCCTGTACCTGCACACACCAAAAAAGTGCATTTCAGCAAGTAATGCTGACCATAGCATGGAGGACGGTGTACACTGGTTATCAGACACCAGCTACAGTGTCTGGATTCCTTCTGGCTGGCAACTAAGTGCTGCTTTTTTGAGAGATCCTTGGTAATCTCTTAAGAGCCAGTTGCTATCTTGTCATCTTCTTGCTTACCTCATCCTCCACAAATCTTGGTCAAGGCTGCTCCTCCACTGTTGTGTTTCCTTGTTTAGGGTATCTCACAGCTGCAGTTTGTCTCCCTGTTGGGAGAAAGGTGGCTTGCAGGGTGTGCTGCAGCCATGCTGCTGCCCTCCTGTGACAGCGTGCCAGCCTGCTGCTCGCCTTGCTGAGCCACACCATCCCTCAGCATATACCAGTTGTGTTCCCAAATTGTGTCTGTGCCCCTCAGCCTGTGCTACTCCTCAGCCCATGCTTTATCAATTCTTCTAGTCATCTTGCACATAACCATTTCTATTCATTCTCCATTTGTACCAGCCTATTTCTGTTAGAAATCTCCACAGTTCCTGAAGGCTGTGGTGTCGCTGCATCCTTGTTCAGAAGTTTCCATGCCCGGGTGTGAGCACGGGGAGCGCTGTGGCAGGGTTGGTGCTGCATCCCCTCTACGTGCCCAAGGCCTGTGCTCGCAGGGGCAGCTGCGGCTCTGACCTCCCCTGCCTACACAGGGATGGATGTTACCGGGCAATCCACGCTCACCCCTGTGGAACTTGGGGGATGGAGGAGTTACTCAAGTTCTCATACAGCTGTAAGCAGAACAGGCTTCTGACCTGAAAGGGGACATGAGAGCGCTGTAGCCAAAGTGCTTTTGGATGGAGAGCATGCAGATGCAAGGTGCATGGTGCTAATTTAGCAAAGCACCTTGTGTCTCCATTTTAGGAAGGAATCTCCTCACTGAAAATGAAACTTATTTGAATGAATCTTAAACAGTATGAGGGGGACGTGTAACTATTGCCAGGCAGGCTTCTTGGTAGTCTGGGAGAGAAGCAAAAGAGGGGAGTTTTCTTTTAAGTGGCAAATTTTGTGCATGCAAAGATCAGGTGTAGTGGTAGGTTTTCAGAACACTGTCCAATTTTGTGTGTAACACAGATTTGTCTTGTTCCAGCCAAAATTTAGCAATTATTAAAGACAAAAGCATTTGTAAGAGTGTCCCTTTCCCTTCATCTCTGCAAGAAAATGACCTCTTTGTAACTCCTTTTCAAGCCCAAGCTCAGTCTTCATTTTGTGAGAGCCTTTTTCTGCCTTCGCTCTTCTGGGCAGAGCAGGCAGGGCCACTTGGAATCTCACTCTTTCCAGTTTTTCGCCAACTTCTTCATGGATCCTTCATTTAAACACACTTGCAGAATTTAGCCCTGCTATTACGCCAGTATTGACTGCAACCTCTGAGCAGGTTATGGATGGCGTGTCGGTGGTGCCCTCTTGTGTGTAAGGTTTTACTCTGTGCCTTTTTGTATTACCTTTGTACCCTTGTACATGCCAGCCCAGCAAAGGCTCTCTGGAATTCGGTCTCCTCGGGTGAATGTCTGATGAGACGCTGTCTGTACGGAATGGTCGACATCATCTTCTTCCCTATGTGTTTCAGCGGAGGAGAAGGCTCGTGAGGCAGAGAGCAAAGCCCGTGCCCTCGAGCTGCGCCTGGGAGGGGATCTCACGCGGGAGTCCAGGGTGAGCCTTGTGCTTTGGCAACACCTCACGGTTCAGGCTCTGGGGGCTGGGGCTGGTCAGCAGGCAGTGGTATCACCCAGCGTGTGGGTTAAAAGGTGGTGACTGAAGTCAGTGGAGAATTGCCAGCAGCATTCTATGGTCTCATCACTGCTGGATGCGCTTCAATACCCCCATGAGGTTTCCAGCCCAGGCAGGAGGCTGATGTTCCCCTGCCCACAACCTGCAGTGTATCCCATGTAGGAAGGCAGTCCCTAGTGCCCAGGTGCTTGCTTTGATGTTGGACTCTGCAGAAGAGGCCAGGAGAATGTGAGGGTTTTGGACAGAAGTAAAATTGGGTGCTTTTTGGCTGCTCCCCCTCTCTGCCTGCACCGCTGGCTCCGAAGCATTTGGTCGGGGCTTTTGGAGAGGGGCTGTTTGCTCCCTCCCCACGGGGCTCTGGCTCTGGATGGGAGCAGGACTATGATCCAGCCTGTGGTGAGGTGGTCAGAGGGCTTGTGGGGAAGCTGGGTGGCCCAGCAAGTGAGACCAGCTTAAAATCACTGTACTTCCTACTGGCATCTGATGGAAATAACTGTATCCAAGTACCCTGGCTGTTTCCCTGTGCCTCTATTGCCTCTGGTTCCAGGTACCTTAGACCTTTAGTTGCATTTACACATTTTCTTCCAAAAACTGTGTAGCTGCTTAAACAACCCGGCAGCAAGTGCTGCCCTAAATGGAAAGGTGTGCTGATTGTCAGCCTCCACCATGAATTCTTTACATTTAAAACATTTCTGAGATATTCTTGAAGGGGGAAGAAATCATAAAAGTGAGTTATTTCATGAATTTCGCAGCAGCAATTTTACTATGCAATGCCTGTTTGCAGGTGATGCTACGTCAAGTCCAAAACTCGGCAATAACCATGCGCCGGGAGGCTGATGTCAAGAAAAGGATCAAGGATGCAAAGCAGAGGTGAGTGCAGGGTGGTTTGGAGCTCTGGTTTTCCCAGGCTGTTCATTCTATGTGCTCAGATGTTTTCCCTACTTTGCTTGTGTGGTGGAGGGAGCTTCAGCTCAAATCTGAAGTATCTGTGGGCATTCTGTATGCCCCGGCTGTTGAACCAAAGGGACTGAGTTTGTTGTTCTGGCTGCTTCTGCTATTCCCTTCTTACTTGCTAAAAGACATCTTTGGATTTGGCTTGTTTTCTGTAGATGTTTACCTGGTTTTCACATCAGCTTTTTTCACTCTTTTGCTTTTTCTTCTGCAGGTAAGATTCAGGGGGCAAACAAATGTTAGAAAGTTACAGTGAAATGGCTTTTAGAGTTGTAGGGATGTTTTCTAAAAATTTGCTGAGTTCTGTTAAAGTCAGTGCTGTGAAATCCCAAGACATTGTTCTAACTTAGCTGTGGTTGTAATTAACTTTGCTAACAGTGTACTCACAGGAATATTTGACTCTTTGCATAGAGATGTGGGTTTTTGCAAATTTTCATATGCATTTCACAAATGAAGTTGTAACCAGAAACAAATGCTCTTAAAACAAATGCTGAGTATGGGAAAGGTAGAGATTTGTATATACAAAGTCTCCATTCCCACCTAGTTGGATTGCATGCTAGTTTGCCTGGCTGTTTAGGTCAGAACTATACCAGACTTGTTGCCATAGATAGTTCTAATCTATCTTAAGATGCTAAAAATGAATAAATAAATACAGCTTTAATTTAAAAGGACTAGAACTGTGATCCGAAGAACGCAGAAACTCTTGGGAGAAGCAGCTCTCCTCAACTTCTGTGTACTTTTTCACACACAGCTTGTCTTTTAATTCTTGCTTTGATGACGTTAGTGCACTAGGTAGAATTTTGTGAATGGTCTCCTGGCATTCTGCCGATGGCAAAATATTTTTTCCTTTTAAAAAGCTGAAAAACAAACAAAGAACTTGGACAGTACAAGTTTGTTTGAAAATAGCTTCTATGTGCCCTTTATTGACTAGTTGGAAATGACACATTCCAAGTTTTCTTAAGCGCTTCTGTCTGTTCAAATCTAAGAAGGCTACAAAATGCAAATCAGCTGTTTTGGAAGAATACCTCAATTGTCATGTCAAAAGCTTATCTGTAGACAGGTTTCAAATACGTGATGATGAGGAAAATAGATGTATGAGACAGCTAACCAGCAGCAGAGGAAAAGGCCTTTTGTCTGGACTTGGCCCATGTGTGCTCCCAGGTGCTCAGCCAGTTCTCAGCAGGCGTATGACTTTCTCTGTGCCCCTGTGTTCATCACTGGTAATCAGAGACAGCTCAGAGGGTCAGGCTATTCTATAATCATGTACTTTATCCAGAAAACAAGAAATTCCTGAAAAATGTGTATAATAGGAAACCTTCCATACGAAACAATTTCTGTAGCCTCTCAGAAAACTCTTGACTTATAGAGAATGTTCTATGATAGTTTTCTGCTGTTTTTCTGGTGCTGGGTGCATCAATGAAAGAAATGCTTTCTGATTTCCAAAGCCTTTACAAGGTCATGTTATAAATCTAGCAGATAGGACAGATACTGAAGTCCTAGTAATAAAACCCTTTTTGGCCCACCGCTTAATTTTCCATGCTTTGGATGATGATTTGACTTCCTGTCCCTCTGATGGAGGTGTCCTTCCTATTTTGTAGGAGTGCACATTGTTACTTGAAATTTAAGGCTTTACATCCTTTTCCAGAAGTTAGAAAAAGAAAATTAATCCATGAGATGGGTGCATAGCCACACCTACTCATGCTCTCAAATAGCAGTTGTCCACCTGGATGAGCTGAGACCAAAAGGGTAACGTCAGCGTTCTTGGCAAAGGTTTAGGTTTAAAATTGCTGAAAGCTGCTATACCAGGTTGCATCCCAGTAACTTAATTCAGAGTAATCTGTTTTGAGGGAAGTTGTGTTACAGGGTACGTCTGTATGGGGAAGAGGATGGCTTTAAACAGAAAATTAATATGAAATGAGGGTATTTCAGGGATTTATTTTGAGATGCTTGACTGTTAAGAAAGACTTACATCTTATATCTGCAGTGCTCATGCATGCACAGCTCAGGTTCTTTTCGTATCTGACACCGTACAGTCAACTGATCAGTTGAAAGAGTTCCACTATCTTCAACTGATCGCTTACGGAGAAGTCAAATTCCTAATTGGGATAAAGCACATAAGTGCTAAGAATTTGCTGTGGGAAGAAAAATAAGGAAGGTCAAAAGTGAGAGGGGTGGGTAGGACATTGGTATAGACTATGTCTTGCAATAGTTAAAAGGTTGGACCTCACACTTTATGATACCTTCAGCCTTAAACTGAGGATCCTTACTGTGAAAAATCCTCAGCATGGATTTCATGGAAGCTGTTGAACCTCCTTAATTTAGTTTGTTAAAAAACAATAGTTCTGTTTGTGAGACGCATGGATTTTGTTGGATTTATAATGCAAAGAGATCCCTTGATGCTTTCTGCATCACAGGAGATACAATTTCCAATAATCAAAGATTCCAATTTGAAAATCACATGTGCTCACAAATGTACTTGAGACCAACTCTCGTTGAAGTCATCGGCTGCGTAGATAAAGTAGAAATCATGCAAATTCCTATGCTGTCATTTCCAGAAAAAAATCTCTGCTTGAGCTCTGCATTGTATCTTGCAGCTTTTGAACTTAGAATAATAGCATTGTACAATTTGTAATTACAAGAAGTTTTGCAGAACCTGAATTTCAAGACTGTAGCTTTATATCAAAATGTTAATTTTCATGCTTTATCTAGCACAGAGATCTGCATCTGAAAAATACAAACCAAAATAGCGTTGGAGAGGACCAGTCTGTACCTAACAGTACTTCGATAAAACTGGTTAACTGCAATGTTTTGAACAAGCAAATTTGAAATAAAAGCCAGAATCCATTCCTGAAGGAGAGAGCATATCCAAATGAAAAATTAACTGGACAGATACTGTCTAGCCTAAATTAGTGTCTGTATTGCATAGTTTCTGTATTTTGTTCGTCTTTAGTTGTAATGCACATTCAACAAATGCTTCTTGGATTTCAGAAATAGCGGACTACAGGATAGGTGTTAGTGAAGCCATGATGCTCAAAGGTGCTGGATTTCTGTACCCTCTGTTTAATGACAGCAAACATTTAGTTTGATTTTCAACATTTCTCAGGCTCTGTTTCATTCTTTCACAGGGCACTGAAGGAACCCAAAGAACTAAATTTTATTTTCGGTGTGAATATTGAGCACCGTGAATTGGATGGCATGTTCATTTATAACTGCAGTCGTCTGATAAAGATGTATGAGAAGGTGGGCCCACAGCTGGAGGGTGGCATGTGAGTTCCTGGATATTTTTCAGCAATCTTTTTGCTTAAGCCTGGCATGTTCCTACATAGAACTTGGGCTGTGCAACAACCTTGTTCTGCATTAATCATTCTTCATGAGCATGAGGCTTACTCATTTTGTCAGCCATTAGTTTGGACCCTGACAAGCAAGTTATATTTAATATTCCCTAATATTTCCCTGGTTTCTCAATATATAGAGAGTTCTCTACACAGATTTTGGTCATACCTGCAGCAGTATGAGGCTTTTGTGCTTCATGCTGGTATTTGGGGTTGATGGATACCGGTAGCAATACTGCCTCATTCTAGGGACAGGAAGAATAGGTCCTGAAGGCAAATACAAACATTTGAGCCCACCTTACTTTTTGCATGCCAGCTGGAGTCTAATTTAGGAAGCTGATAAATTAAAACCAGTCCTGCTGCAGGAATAGGTTGGGTGTGTGTAGTCTGCTATTTTCAGTATTGTTTCTCTGAACAACGATGTGGTAGTTTAATGGTGTTTGTGACTGTGTGTCCCTCTTCCAGGGCTTGTGGTGGAGTGGTAGGTGTGGTGGATGTGCCCTATTTGGTTCTGGAGCCAACCCATAATAAACAAGATTTCGCTGATGCCAAAGAGTATCGACATCTGCTGAAGGCCATGGGAGAGCATTTGGCTCAGTATTGGAAGGATGTTGCTATAGGTAACGAAGCTTCACAATTACCAGGGGCTGGAAGTGGAACCTTTGGTGGCAGGAGGACAGCCAAGAGTGCAGGTAGTGATTTTCGTTGTAATGGCTCCATACTGAGCAGGGGCTTGTTTGTTTTCCAGCCCAGAGAGGTATCATCAAGTTCTGGGATGAATTTGGTTATTTGTCAGCAAACTGGAACCAGCCTCCATCTACTGAACTGCGCTACAAACGCCGGAGAGCCATGGAGATCCCTACCACGATTCAGTGCGGTGCGTCCAGCCAGGCTGCGATTAGGAGGCTGGTCCTCCCTGGGGAAGCGGGGAAGGGCTGCTGTTGGGGAGCAGCTAAATGTGTAGGAGATTTGAGATGAGCTTTGCTATCATTGTCCCCTTCTAGGGCTTGTCTCCTTCTGTGAGTTGTCTTTGTCTGCACTTGATGGTACACTTAGGAATATTAAGCCAAGGTGTCTTTCCTGCACAGTTACTAACCATTAAGTTCTTCAGGTGCTGTTACAGAATGGGGCAGGTGTGGCCTAGCAGTGTTGAGAATGGGCTTAGAACAGGAACTGGCCAAAGCCACCCATCCCAATGCTGGAGTAAGATCTGAAACTTCCCTGTAGGCAATGGAAAGTGGCCAAGTAATTTGTATTCTGATGCACTGGCCTGCTAATAGGTTCTAGCTGTGAGCACAGGAGGGAACCATTTAGTCAACTTTCAAGTTTAATGCAAGTTCTCTTCTGTGCACCTGTAAACAGCCCTGGCTAAGCCCTTACTGGGGTAAGGAAGATCTCAACACAACCACTTTGTCTCTTAGTAGAGGTACACCAAACTCTCTCAACCTCATTTTCCCCATAGAACTTGGGGATGAGGATGTAGCAAGGAATGTGAGGCCAGCCTTGTGGAATTAAGTTGCAAGGGTCTCCTGCCTTGACAGTATTCTCAGCCCTTTTCAAGTTCCTCCCAAAGAGAAAGGGCTTTCCTGTCATTCTTGTCCCCTGATTTTGACATCCTTCCAGAACCTAATTTAAGAACATTTGCATTTTCTTGGCAAAAATTTTTTTTTTAAGCTGTTGATTTCCTGGAACGCCAGAATGCTCTGGAAGCCAAATCTGTCTTCCTGGTTCATCTAAAATTTATTAGATTATTACAGTTTATTTATTATTTTTTTAAAAGTGGATAAATCTTGACTTATTTTGTGTTGATATCAGTAGGAGACAGCCTGACTTTGGAGACGACAGTGAATCCAGGGACTGGCTGTTCAGTTTGGTTTATACGTGCTATCATTACAGCAGTGAGTGTGAGGTCGTCTAGTGTCGGCTGATGCCAGGTTTCATCAGGTTCTTGTTATGGATGCCTTATACAAGATTTAAGGTCTTCCTCCAAGCATTTTATGAGCATGAAGAAAGAATTGACGTAGTATATCCTGTGGCTGTCTCACTCTTTTTGGCCAGTAGTCTTACTGTCGTTGGATATACTTTGGAAATTGGTGGGGTCCTTGGGTATTAAATGGGCTTGAGAAGTGCTATGGAAAATAATGATTTTGTTGCTCAGGCTCTATATTTCTGACTTGCAAATTGTCTAACAGATGTATGTCTGAAATGGCGGACTCTCCCATTCCAGCTTAGCTCAGTGGAGAAGAATTACCCTGATAGCTGGGTGTGCTCTATGAACCCTGATCCTGAACAAGACAGGTAAGAATCAGTTAATATAAAGACTTTTCTGCAGCATGCCATATCTGCCCCCCGCCAGCCAGTGTCCAGACTTTTTTACTGCAAAGGATTACCCCATCCCAGTGACAAGACTTCACATTTGTCTGTACTGAATTTCAGAAGGTTCCTGTTGGCCCATTCCTCCTGCCTGCTTAGTTGTTTCCAAATGACAGAAGTGGGGCTGTCCAACCCTTCATTGCTATCAGTGTGGTGAAACAAAATAATTTATAGCCTACTGTAAGAGACATTTTCTCCTCCTGGCTAGAGGCACCCACAGCTCTGCCTACACCCCTTACCTATCTCCAGCAGCCGGGACTCCCCAGTCCTTCCAGGAGTCAGCTCCTGCAGGTTTGCCCTTCGCCACCCTCTTGCCTTGCTCCCAGGCCACCTCCTTGCTGGATTGTCTGGCCTAACATATGCTGTGAATCACATGTTCATGTGCATGCCTGCAGTCACTGCAACTGCTGCCACCCAGGCACACAGGCCTCTGCAACCAGTGGTCCCACTCCAGCTGCTGGTACTCAGGCCCTCATACACACATGCACATGCAGAATAGAGCCCCTCACCCAGGAAAATAGTTTAACATGGAGTTTAGTACAAAGACAAGTGTACTGACCAGCCAACTCTTTATGTACAACTGGCCCTTTTTAGCCTTCTGTTTCTCTGTTTTCCCATGTTTGCTCCTCCCCCAAATCATCTCTATCACTTTCTCTACCTGCCTTTGGTTCCTTCCATTGGTCCAAAAGATGCTTTGGAGAGCCACTCCCATTGGCTGGACACGGGCTGAGGCTGCCCTGGGAAAGTCCTGGCCCAAATGGGGTATCTGTTCCTCTAAGTACCTAATTTGCATTCCCTGAGCTTACTTTGGGCCTCTGGGTTTGTGGAAATAGGCCTTGGATGGGCTGGTGGCTCCTGGGATGGCCTAGGACTAGCCGGGGAAGGGTGTTAATTCAGGTTCCCCTACTAGCCATTGTCTTTGTGCTCTTTTGTGTATGTGCAGAGGAGCTTTTGTATCATGTAACCTAACAGGAACTTGATTTACTAATGAAAGACTTTAATTTTGTATTTGCAATACCTTGAAAATTTGGAGGGGTTTAGATGCATTTCACATGAGGACACGTTGGGATGTTGGTTGGAGCGAGTTAGCGTTGCCTCCAGTGTGCACACGCATGGTGCTGTCTCACATCCCCCTTGCACAGAGGTGGGACAGGGCAGGTGAACTGCTTTGGACAGGTGATCCAAACTTCTGATCATTTCAGCTTCTTTCAAAGGATCTCAGGAGTCTTACTTTGGGAGGATAAATAACTGTAGAATGTTTTTGGACTCAGTAGCCTATGTGCGCTTTCCAGCAGTGAGTTGCAGTCCTTTCTTGTTACACAACGCAGAAGGTTTTCTACAGAAGTTGCACTAGTACTCCTCTGGCTTGGTTGGTGCCAGTAGAAAGAAGGACTTCCCTTGCAGTCACTGCACTTCTGAACTTCCCTTCCAAGTGCTCTACTGTCTGATGTTTCTTGCTGTGTCCTTGTGCCGTGGGTTTGCACACCATCAGCTCTGTGCCTTGATTATGTGCCCCAGCTGTTCCATTCCAGGAATTTGTACTGTTTGAGGGAGGACTGAGGATTTGGGAAGAGTTGCTGTTGTCATCATGGGTGAGGGGCCTCAAGCTCGTGCTCCATTAGGATCTGTGAAGAATCTCATCCAGCCAAGTTGAAGATGAAGCACTGTCAGAGTTGATGATCAGTCTCTCTCCTGGCATCAGAACATCATGTGGTGGCTTTGGCTGCCTCAGCATTGACTGCCTGCACTGACCTGTTCCCCGCCCTTCTGATTTGTCCACCTACACCTCAGTTCCTGCTTGTAGCACGTTGTCCCAGATCATGAGAACTGGGTGCCCTTCCCCATCTCTGTCATGTAAAGTAGTCGCCCCTTCTGTTGCCACGGTCAACAACACTAAGTGGGACCATCACTTACTTTGTCACAGAGAAGGCAGTGTTTCTGTACATCATTTCAGTGTCAGGCTGTTAGTTTTCGTACCTATAATCCAGTTGGGTCCTAAACGGCATTTGGACTCGCCATTGAGACACCAGCTGAAGATGACTCTCTGGCTCAGAGCTCCTTGAGCATCACTAAAACCTTGGTGCTGAAGTTGCAGACTATTCTGACATCGAAGACAATTTCTTTTTTACTGACTTGCTGCCTCTAGTGGTGCAATCTGTAGTTTTGAATGTCATGAGTATTCTGAATTTTTTCCCAATGGCAGAACTAACAGGTGCTTTCATACTTTCTCGTCCTGTGAGATACAGCCTAATGTTTTGAGCCTCAATCCATGCAGTGGCATAGGAGATGGCATTTCTCTGCTGGGAAACCTGTGTATGGTGCCACTTGTTCACCTTTATCTTTGGGAATTGCAGCTTTGGTGTCAAGCAGCCATTTTGCAGTTAGGACAGAAATTTTTTAGCCGAGGAATATTCACTCTATGAAAAACGCCCCTGCAGTGCTTCGGCTGAGAAGAGGCTGATGGACAAACTGCTGTTTGTGCTCCTTTCCACTGACAAAGCAGATCACAGTATGTATCTTGTACACTGGGGGATACTCCTTCAGTTGGCAGATTCAGGATCAGAGATAAAATCATCTCTCATCAGCCTCTTGGAGCTCTGTGTGAGCCACAATGAGAGCAGCGTCCTCCCTTTATCTGTAAGATCAAACTTGCAGGAAGTTTTTAACAGCTTGGCTCCAAAGCAACGTAGGAGTCAGACAGTGCTGCGTGCGTGAGACAGCACGTTCTGTTGTTGCTGAGGTTGTCTTGCACTCCCTTTATGTGCTAGGTGTGAAGCTGCAGAGCAGAAGCAGAAGGTACCACTGGGAACTCTGAAGAAAGACTTGAAATCACAGGAGGAAAAGCAGAAACAACTATCAGAGAAAATCCGCCAGCAGCAGGAAAAGCTGGAAGCTCTGCAGGTAAATCTGGAGGTCTCCAGCTAAGCACAGCAGGTTTGAGGGACCTCCTAGTGCAAATGACTGATGCTGAGTCATGTCTGTCTCTGCCCCTAATGCCACCTGTGTTCATTCATTGGGTACAGGTTGTTTGAATAACAGAAAACAAGCATTTCAGCTTGCATTTCATTTTCTGCTAGGAAAATGGGAGTGACTGCTGGTGTTCAGATGAAGGGCTGTCTCTTGAAGGACACAGAACACACCTTCTTCTTAGAATTGTTTATTTTAAACTGGAAAACTGTTTTCTGGCCTGGGTTCAGGTAGGCCCTTGTGGCTTTTATAGATGGCATTTCTGATTTATTTTTTTTATTTTTCAAATAGAAAACCACTCCAATTCGATCTCAAGCTGACTTAAAGAAACTGCCTCTGGAAGCATCCACACGGCCTGCACGGGAGGTAAATGGAATGCTGTAGGCTTTGTGCTCTTCTGTGCAATCCTTAGCTGTTCTGAAAAGCAGGGCCCAACTCTTCTGTCCTTTCTCTCTCTGTACCCTCATTCACCCAGTCACAGACCCGACCTCAGCGCCCACGATCTCCTCCTTTACCTGATGTAATCAAGAACGCTCCCAGCAGACCACCACCACGTATGCCTCTTCCCAAGTCCACCAGTCAGCTGAAGAAGAGCTCTTCGGCTTGGCCAAATATCAGCACTCCCAAACTGGCAAGCATCCTCTCCAAGGAGGAGGCCAGCACTTCCAGGACGCACCAGCACACTGTGACAGCTGGAAAGTCTAACAGCACTTTAAAAACTCTTGCCAAACCAAGTACAACAATGAAACCAGCCTCTTCTGCCCTGCAGAACCCCAAAAGCTCACGTGAGACATCCAATACAAAAGCTGCCAAGATTGCAGCACTAAAGAAATCTGCCACTGTCAAATCCCCACAGGTAAGACTTGATGGGATAAAACCTGTCCGTTCCTTATCTACTGTTCTGCATAGCCTGTCACATGGGATTTGCCCTGTAGTCCCTGCGCAGTATAAGATAACTTTTGCTTTACTTTTGGGTTAGGGCACCTTTCTACGCTCCTCATGAATACTTTTTTCATCTCTTTCCTGCTAGGTTGTTTCCCCAGGTGAAAAAAAAAAAAAAAAGTAGAGTGGTGGGGTGAGCGTTTTCATGATCATGTAGCACCTGCTAAAACCTTCTGGAACAGCTAATTAACTATCAAACTAAGTACTGGATACTGAGCTTTTTTCTTTTTTTTTTTAACTTGAATGAAGGAAATTTTAGGTTGGTAGCATGCAGGAACTGTAGCTAGTGCTTGTTTGCTTCCTACAGGCCTCCAGCACTCGGAAGAGGACCTTGAACAATACAGAGGATGGGTCTGAGGAGGAGGGGGAATACAAGAAGGAGAAGACAAAACGAGGCAAATTTGTGGCAGTGAAAGAAGAGAGGAAGGATTCCAGTGAGGTGGTGGTTGAGGTAGAGTGCACTGATTTTCTCAGCAGAAGGTGTTTTGTCAAGTGTTTATAATCTTGTTGGGAGGCAGCTAATCTGAGCTCTCTCTGCTCACAGCTCACAGACAGTGCTGGGGAAGAAGAGCTAGCAGAACTGAAGAAAGCTCAGAAAGGTGAGAAATGAACCCTTGAACTGCCTTCAGTATCTAACACAATGTAAAAGAACTGTTGCAGAACTCGATTCACTGGTTAAACGTGTGATTTCATTAATGAGCTTTTTAAAATAAGAATTAGTGTAAATTTGGGTCCCAGACCCTGAGATGACTCTAACTCACACGAAACATTTTTGGTCAGGAACCCCTTGATCAGACAAGAGGCAATTGTTGTGTGGGAAGAATCTGAGGGCTGTGTCGCCATGTCAATGGGTGTGATGCTTGGTTGCGTGATGTAGACTGATGTCAAGCTCACCCTTCCTAACTGGATGGATCATGGAGCTACATTAGCTGAGAAATGCTGAGATCTGCTGTGCTGCTGTGAGAGGAGAGGCATTGAGACATCCCCAGGAAAAATGATAGCCAGGATGGTATTGTACCTGCCACAGAGCAGGGCATGTCTTCAGCTTGTTCCCAAGGAGCTATCTGGAAAGTGACCCTCTAGGAATATGCAGCAAATGCTCCTACTGGCACATGTGAGCCTGGAAAGCCCATGTCAAACAGCTTGGAGTATGGGAGAAATGTCTGAAAATGCCATATATTTTCTTTGCATCTTAAATGTTTCCAAGTAGGAGTTGAACCTGTACAACAGTAGTGTTTTTATGGTTTACATACCATATGAAGGGATTGTCACGGGTTTAGGTCTGCTCCCTGCTGAGGATGGCTGTCTTCTCTGGAGCTCAGGCAGAATGTGCTCTCCAGCTTCTGAATATCGGCAAGCATCTTTACTGTCATCCTCCTTGCAGATAAAGGGCTTCATGTGGAAGTGCGTGTGAACAAGGAGTGGTTCACAGGTCGTGTGACAGCTGTGGAAATGGGCAAGCATGCAGTACGCTGGAAGGTGAAGTTTGATTATGTTCCTACAGACACCACACCACGGGATCGCTGGTAACTATCTCTAGCTACTGGATTTTGGAGGCTTGTTTTGCTCTTGGGAGGAAGACCTCCATTTTACTTCCACAGATGCTGAAAACATGTTGCAGTCATGTCAGGGAGAGTTTGTGTGCTCGGGACTGTCCAGTTGCTTCATAAGGAATGAGCATGACAGACTCCATACAAATCTGCCCATCGCTTTGATGTAGTGCTCCTGTGGATGCAGCTGGTGTGTAGTCTAGAGGTATCAGAGTGACAACTGTGTACAGGTTCTGATGAAGTTGTTAGTAGTGTTTCAGGTATGGCCAATGTAGAAAAAAGATAATCTGACTTTCCCTTCATATCTTTTTTTTTTTTTTTTTTTTTTTTTTCCAGGGTAGAGAAGGGCAGTGAGGATGTGAGGTTGATGAAGCCTCCCTCTCCTGAGTACCAGGCTCCAGATACGCAGCAGGAAGAGGAGGTTGTTGGGGTCGAACCTTCTACCTCAGACTGTGTCAGAATTGAGCCAGACACCACTGGTCCCAGCAGCAGCCAAGAAACAGTAGACTTACTAGTCCAGATCCTTCGGTGGGTTCACTGCAGTTCTTATGAGCTGCTGCGATCTGACTGCTTTATTCTTTTAAACTCCCAATTCTGTCCTTGTGTTTTTCTTTCCTGCATAGAAATTGTTTGCGGTACTTCTTACCTCCGAATTTTCCTATCTCCAAGAAGGAGCTGAGTTCCATGAGCTCAGAAGGGTTGTTGGCATTTCCGTTGGTGAGTTCGATATTTCTAGAAAAGTAAGTTTGGGATTTTGCCGCACACACGTTCCATTCTTATGGCAAGGGTACATCCTGTTGATGGCACGATCACCCTCTTCAAAGGATTCTTTGGGTCCTTAGCAGACTAATGCACCTGAGAAAAAGAATGAGAGCCTCTGAAATATGCCTTAGGTCTTTTGACAGTTGTCTGAGAACTTTTTAATTACCATACATCTGTGTGGGAAAGCTGTTGGCTGCTACTATCCTGATTTTTTTTTTTTTTTTGTCCATTGTTGTGAAGCTTTTAAAAAACAGAGGCCAGGCTAGAGGCTTGGAAAAATGGAATGTAGATATACCTGTTCATTTTGCCCCGAGCCTTACAAATCTAACTTAGTCCAATGCAATCTTAAAAATGGGGGAGAACATGGAAGCTGACCCTCTCACACTTCTCCAGGTGAGCAGGCTGACCACCTGCAAGTCAGCTGTACATCTTGAGGCTTTTGGTGTGGGCTTTGTTTATTTGAGCAAGGAACAGATGGGGCTGAGCTTGCATCAGTATCTGCGTGCTGGTATTGGACAGTCCAGAGCAGGCTGAAATGCAGAGGAGTGGTACTGGCTTCTCTGACTTCTCCCTTCTCTGACATACCACAAAGGAAGACCTCCTCAGGTGGCATCTGTAAGTCACATAAGCCCCCTACAGATGACTAAATGACTGAAGAATACAAAAGCAGTGGCTTTTAAGTGCCCTACTCCTTCACTCGCAATGTGTATATTGGCACTCTCTTCCTCTTTTCTGGATGTTAATTCAGGCATCAGCTTGAGTTACGGGTCCTGCTGCTTCTGCAGGACACATTGGTCTTGTCTGAAGTTTTCTGCAAGTGTAGATGCTCCTGCCTCACAGTAATAAGCTGTGTTATCTGAGGGGTCTATACTAAGGAAACTCACTGCATACAGAGGCTGTCAGATCTTTGTACAGCATAACTGTAGTTTTAGGCTTTTTAAAACATGCTGTATCCTTAATCTGAGGTTAGGCAGCTTTTGTTGCAGTTCTGGTCTTTGAGGAATGTGAAAACCCATGTGACTTCTGTGCTGCCTGCAGTAGGCAAATCAGAAATGTATATGTGAGCATAGTAATGAGGTGGGCAGTCAGGTGCACGGTGTTTGGCTGGTGGTGTTCAGTCATGGGGTGCTGGTAACTGGACTCTTCTACAAGCTGCAAGTGCTGGGATTTTCTTGATGCTCAGTGCTGCTTCTTAATGTGTCATCTGTTGTATTTTGTCTTTTACAGAAAGAATATTTCAAACAGTATGAGGTAGGTCTGCAGAACTTGTGCAATTCATATCAGACACGCGCAGATGCTCGGGCTAAAGCCTGTGAAGAAAACCTTCGCAACACGGAGAGAAAGCTGAAGGAAACGGAGGAGAAACTGCAGAAGCTGAGGACTAACATCGTGGCCCTTCTGCAGAAAGTGCAGGAGGTGGGTGAGGAAGGGCTGTGAAACCAGAGCTGTCCTATGAGTAGCAACCTTCCCCTGGTCCGGACCCTTCCAGGCATTTGAGATGTTTTAGTGGCTCAGACTGTGAGAAGCAGCTGCTGTCACTGCCCACCTCTTGGGATCCAGGCCTTGGGGATCCTGATGAGTGTTAATTTCACAAATGGATTGTTCACGGCACATGCATAGCGCGCAGCTTCTATTTATTTTCTGCTTTCTGCTTTGAAACACTGGCTGCAGGAGAATTTGCCTGGGCATAGGCAGTGTTCTGCATACAATTTCTGCCCCATTCTTGGACAGAAAGGTGGTGCTAGATTCTGAACCCCATGTATGCAAATGCAAACCTTTAAACAAATAATATTTAAAATTAAAAAATTTATGGTGAAATTTATTAGTTATGTTATTAAATATGAAATTAAAATGGCAAGTCAGTATTTAAGTAAAGTATTTAGTATCCCTGTACTCAGCACTGGTGAGGCCACACCTGGAGTATTGTGTCCAGTTTTGGGCACCTCAATACAAGAGAGATATCGAGGTGCTGGAGCGAGTGCAGAGGAGGGCAACGAAGCTGGTGAGGGGGCTGGAAAACAAATCGTATGAGGAGCGGCTGAAGGAGCTGGGACTGTTTAGTTTGAGGAAGAGGAGGCTGAGGGGAGACCTCATCACTCTCTACAACTTCGTGAAAGGACACTGTAGAGAGGTTGGTGCTGGTCTCTTCTCACAGGTAATTAGTGACAGAGCAAGAGGGAACAGCTTCAAGCTCCACCAGGGTAGGTTTAGACTGAACATTAGGAAGGAATTTTTCACAGAAAGAGTGGTCGGGCATTGGAACAGGCTGCCCAGGGAGGGGGTGGAGTCCCCATCCCTGGCTGTGTTTAAGGGCTGTTTAGATGCAGTGCTGAGGGACATGGTGTAGGGGAGGACTTTGTAGAGTAGGGGAGATGGTTGGACTCGATGATCCCAAGGGTCTCTTCCAACCTAGACGATTCTATGATTCTATGATTCTAAAAGCTTTAAATAAATTTTAAAAAGCTACTTTAAATAAAATTAAGATGACTCAATGGAAAAGCTACTGAAAGCAGATGAAAGCAGTTGCTCCCTACTAGGAAAATGTATGTTAAAGCTATAAAAAAAACCCTGACCTGACCCTGATCAGCACAATAAATCTATTACTTGAGTGCGTTGTTTGAGTGTCGAGTGCTGGCTGGTTTCCAGGTGTTGTCCGTCAGGCTCTGACAAGGAAAGCTGGTGGCGCTTTCACAGCGGATGTCAGGAGCTGGAGAGTGCTGGAAGTCAGGGCATAAACGCTGGCCAGGACAGATGTTGCAGGGGCTGCTCTGCTGCCGTCTCGTCTGTTCTTGCACTGTTCTTCAGGATTCACTTTTCACAGGTATTTCTTGTGCTTTTGGTTTCAGGACATTGATATTAATACAGATGATGAACTGGATGCTTATATCGAGGACTTGATCACGAAAGGAGATTGAGCAGCCCCAGTACAAGTCCTGGAGAAGTGCACAGGAGCTGGTTACTGTGATGGGAGGTGTGGATTCCTGCAGTGGAGGACTACGGCAGCTGATGAGGAGAGATGGTTTTTAGTACTTACATTGTCTTGGTGTACAACCTGTTCTCGTGACTACATGAAAAAGACATTTGTGCTGTTGGCAGGAAAATTTTTAACGTTGTAGTTCTTTGAATCTCTTCCTTTTCTTTATAAATATTTATTTTTAAAAGACTCTGCCTGATATGATGGGAGGGTTGCTGTGTGTTTTTAGTGAGCTAAAAGTGAGTACCCTTTTTGCATCTGGGGTATATTCATATGTTAACCCTGGAAGACCAGAACATCCTGCCTGGCAGGTTGCCTCGAGGAAGAACCTGGCAGCAACTTAAAAACAAGCCTTGAGTTGTGGAAGAGGAGGTCAGGACTTAGGCTTCAAAGATACTGAGCTTGGGCTAGAGAAAGGCAAGTCAGGAATTTGAGCTACATGGAGGAGATCGAAACACAGTCCCTGTGTGAGGGTGAGTGGAGGGGATGAAATCTTGGTGGTTTGAGGGGGTTGGGTGTACAGGAGTGAGGTTCCCAAGTTGTCACCATGCTAAGGTTCAGAGGCTGAGGATCCTTTTAGAAGAGGATGGCCTCCTAGGCGGCTCACAGTGGGTTGTGATCACCAGAGGGAGAAAGTTGGAGTTCAGATTCTTTTCTAGCAGTCACCTTATTGCACACGTTTGCTGCTGTTTCTTTGAGACGTAATTGCAATGGCAGAAGAACTCCTCGACCAGCTGAAAATAAAGTGACCCTCTGTTCTGTTGTCACTCCCTCAGGTTTGCGTTGCTTTGATCAACTTGCTCTTCCAGGTAATTTTTTTTAGAATGCTGGAATTTGGAGCCTTGCATCACTGAGTCACATCTGACCCTGGGTCAGCAGCAAGGACAATACCTGTCTTTCATCCAGCTGGAGGCTGCACTACAGCTCCTGGCAGACCATTTGTGGCCAAGGTGACTCGGTTTGAGTTTGATGGCTAGCCACCTTCTCAGGTCTGCTAGGACAAGATGTCCATGAACTTGGTGCTCAGAAAACTGAAATCCTCTACAGCCTGGTGATTCAAAGAAATACAGCATGACCAAGAGGTGCCCACCTTCAGGAACATCAAATTAAATGGACCATTGGTCTTCTTTTGACAGCTAAACGTGTAATACATGTTTTGCAAAAAAAATTTCCAAATTAAAGATCTGTTGCGCAGAAAATATTAAGCATTAATGGTTTCTAGTCCTGGAGAACTCCCAAGTTCTACATACCGCAGGAGAGGGGGAAGATTTTGTAACAGCACCCAGTTAGACCAACTGCTTTCATTCAGGATCTGGGCCTGGATGTTCCAGTAAAAATGAAGGCAAGGAGCATCCCCCCATCCCCCTACTCCTTCCTGGACAGAGAGCCAGCATTCCTTAGAGGTAGGAGCAAACTCCACCAGTCTTGATTTCCTTACTCGTGTTGGAGGTTTTGTTAATTGTGATGGCACGTTGGTGCTTCAGCTTAAAAGTGATCCTTCTGTAGAAGCTGGGGTTTATATTAAAGTGAAAGAAGAGGTCTTTGTGCTTTCCAAGTGGCCAGCACAGAGTCTAAAGAGCCAGATTTCATTAAAATACAGTTCAGAGATGCTGCTTCTTCCAAGCTTTAGTTCGTAACACCCAGAGTACAAATAACTCCTCCTCGCCGAGGAGACCGAGCTCCAGTGTAGCTAAGTCTGCACTGGGGGAGGGAATCGCGGCAAACAGGATGGGCAAGGAGCTCTTTTTGAGGGCTTTTTGAAGCCAGGCAGAGCGGCTGGGCTGTGCCGGGAGCCAGGGGCTGCTGAGGCAACGGGGGCAGAGCCTGCACCGGCAGATTTAAATGGGGCGGAACCATGCCGGGACCAGTCCTCCCCCTCCCCACAAAAGAGGCCTCTTGGGAGCGCAGTGGCCTGGGCACTGAGCAAGCAGCAGCCAGTGGGTGCAACCGGAGTGCCACCTGGGACTTGGTGGCCACCTTGGAGCACCACCACAAGGCGCAGGGAGTGGGGAAAGAGCACCTAGGGAGGAACTGAAGCTGTGCCAGCTTGACAGGTGAGTCCTGCTGGTCGTCACCACCCCCTCGGAGTTGCTTAGGCATGGTCTCCACCCAGAGGAAGGTCATGCTCTCAACTTTAACCAGAATGGATGTGGGAACCCAGACAGAGCTCCCATGGAAGCATGTAGCTGCCTAGGTCATGGGCTGCAGAGAGTGCCAGGACCTTTTACTGGTAATGAGTGGCAGCTATGAGATCTGCTGTGTGAGTTGTGAACAGGAGAATGATCTGCTCAGCCTGGTGGCAGAGCTGAGAGGGAAAGTCGAAAGGTCTAGGAGCCCCTGTACCCAGCCCAGTTCAGGCTGAAGACAGAAGCCTAAATGAAAAGAGCGAATGGAGGCAGGTTCATGGTTGGGGCAGCAGACGAACTCCCCCCTTGCCCACCTCATCCCATCCAGTACCTCTGAAGAACAGATAAGAGGTACTGGGTGAGGAAGGCCAGTTGAGTGAGGAAGTTGGACGATGGGCACTCTACACCACGGATGCCTCCTCGGTCAAAAAAATGTAAGCCCTGGATCACCATCACACCCGCAAGGAGAAAAAGAAGGGTTATAGTTGTTGGTGACTCCTAGCTGAGGGGGACGGAGGGCCCAATATGCCAGGTGGAACCTCCTCAAAGAGAAGTCTGCTGTCTTCCTGGAGCCTGGGTTAAGGATGTCACCAGGAAACTTCCTGGCTTCTTATGGTCCTCAGACTATTATCCGTTATTGATTTTCCATGTAGGTGGGGAGGAAGCTGCGACTCGCAGTCCATGAGCAATAAAAAGAAACTTCAAGGAGTTGGGAGGGTCAGTGAGAGAGTCATCACAGTTGCAGGCAGTGACGCTGGGATGAACAGATGGATCCAGTTGATTAATAAATGGCTCCATAGCTGGTGTCACCACCATAACTTTGATTTCTTTGATAATGGATTGGCCTATACAGCACAGGGCTTGTTGACATCAAATTGGTCCTCTCAAAGAGGATCCTTGCCCAAGAGATTGCGGGATTAATTGACGGGGCTTTAAACAAGATGTGAAGGGGGAGGTGGGGTAATAATATCAGGCTTGTCTGGGACAAGCTGTGGGATATCTCATCAGGGTTAGAGGGACAGGGTGCTAGTAAGGGCCTTCAGCCTGTAGCCCTGAGGCAGGCTGGTGATGCTGCACTACAGAAAGTCTTATGGAGAAAAGCCAGCAGCTCCTGAGGTAGTTGAAGTCAACAGAGAAACACCTGTGAGACACCTCAAGGGGTGTTCCCCTAAGAAAGTGGCACAGCCGTCAACCCAACTGAAGTGCCTCTACACAAATGCATGCAGCATGGGCAACAAACAGGAGGAGCTGGAAGCCACCGTGCTGCTAGAAAGCTATGACATAGTGTCCATCTCTGAAACCTGGTGGGATGAACCCTGTGACTGGAGTGTGGCTGTTGAGGGCTACAATCTGTTCAGGAGGGACAGGTAAAGAAGGATGGGTGGAGGGGTTGCCCTCTGTGTTAAGGAATGGATAGAGTGCAAGGAGGTGTCTCTAAAGCCTTCCCTGGGGTCAGATGAAGAGAGAGTCAAAAGCTTGTGGATGAGGATTGAGGGGCAGGCCAATATGAGGGAATTATATTATCAGGCCACGTGATCAGGATGGGGAAGTTAATGAGGCCTTTTACAGTCAGCTCAAAGCAGCCTTCGCAATCGCAGGCCTTGGTTCTTGTGGGGGACTTCGATAACCCTGGTATCTGCTGGGAAGGCTACACAGCCAGGCATGTACAGTCCAGGAGGTTCCTCCAATGTATTGATGATAACTTGTTGACTCAGGTGGTGGAGGAACCAACAAGGAGAGGTGTACTACTGGATGTAATACTGACAAACAAAGAGGGACTGGGGGAGGACATTAAGGTTGGAGGCAGCCTTGGCTGCAGTGATTGTGAAAGGACAGAGTTCAGGATTGTGGGTAGTATGTGCAAAACAACAAGTAAGCCTGAAACCTTGGATTTCAGGAGGACTAACTTCAGCCTCTTCAGGAAAGTGCTTGGAGATATCCCATGTGCTAGGGTTCTGGAAGGTAGGGGGACTCAAGACAGCTGGATGATATTCAAATATCACTTTCTGCAAGCTCAGGATCAGTGCATCCCTAAGAGGAAAAAAATCAGGCAAAGGAAGCAGGAGACCTGCGTGGTTGAGCAGAGAGCTTCTGAAAAAGCTCAAGTGGAAGAAGGAAGTTTACACTGAATGGAAGAAGGGACTGACCATTTGGGACAATTACAAGAATGCCATTAGAGTATGCAGGGATGAAACAAAGCAAGCCAAGGCCACCTTGAAATTAAACCTTAAGGGTTTTCAGACCCCCCGGGTTCAAGCCTGATTGCATCTGGAAATTCTAGAACAATCTGCAAGGCTTGCGCTAGATGCTGTGAGGAGGCTCCCAGAGATAGAAAAGCCAGAGCAATTATTCACAATGGTTAAACAAAAAACTGCTGAGCCATGTATGAACTTTATTGATCGCTTGCAGGACTCGACTGATAAACAAATGGAGAATAAGGAGACAAAAGACGAGTTGATTCTAAAATTGGCAGTGGAAAACACAAATATAGATTGTCAGAAGGTTTTGTATAGTCTCTAAGCGGGAAGCTCACTAGTGCAGGTGATAGAAGCGTGCAATGCTGTTGGTTCTGTTGAGCATAAGACTCAAAGCCTAGTGACGGCTTTTGCAGCTGCAGTGGGTAGTGATATGAAAACAAAACGCTGTTACACTAGTGGCCAATTAGGACATGTGAGTTTCCAGTGTCAAAAAGGGGGAGGAAATGCAGGGTTATCCAAGCCTCCGGGTATTTGGCGTTGTTGAAAGGGGAGACATTATGTAAATCAGTGTCATTCTAAGTATACTAAGGATGGTCAGACCCTCCCACCTTGGCGGGTGCAGCTGGGAGATGGGAATGGGGGCGTGAGGCAGAACCACTCACCGACACAAATACCGCCGTCTGTTCCACGTACTCAAACGTGGGCAGCTACCCCGGAGGCCTTGACCAGTTTGCCACAAAAACTATAGGAAGTGCTGGCGTGGATGTTTCCACAGTAACAGACGCGATGCTCTGGGATCAAACAGTGCGGCGCATACCACTTAATATAAAGGGACCGCTAGGTCGTGGACTTAGCGCTTTGCTGATGGAACGCTTGAGTACTACAGTGACTGGTGTGTTTGTACTGCCTGGAGTTATATTGAAGGCGAGATTCAGGCTATGGTATGGACTCCCAGTCTACCCGTAGCTATTCCAAAAGGAAGCAGGATTGCACAACTTGTACCCTTTAAGGCAAGTGTACTGCATGCCATTGATAAGGAAAGAGGAGATGGGGGTTTTGGTTCTACAGGCGCAGCAGAACTATATTGGACAACCCAAATTACACAGAAAATCCCTATGATGGAAGTAACTATTGTTAATTCTAAAGTGACACCTCGGGAAATTCAATTAATGATGTTGATTGACACAGGGGCAGATGTGACTGTTATAGGGGAAAGGTGGTGGCCGAAGGGATGGCCCACAGCTTGTCCAGGAAACGGACTTTTGGGAATAGGTGGAGTATCTCAGACATGGCAAAGTAAAACACCTGTCTTGATAAAGACAAACGATGGATCTGTATGTCATGCAGCTCCATTGTAGCTGCTATACCCATGAATTTATTGGGACGGGATGTTCTGGGGCAAATGAATTTTATTCTCACAACACAGACAAATTTATTATGATAGCCACTGATCAGCGACCGACACTTAAACTGTCCTGGAAAACTGAGAAACCTGTTTGAGTGGATCAGTGGCCTCTAACTTCAGAAAAGGTCGCAGCCATACAAACTTTAGTTGAGGAGCAGCTCCAGCAGGGACATATAGTCAACAAGTCCGTGGAATACTCCGTTTTTTACCATCCCAAAAAAGTCCAGGAAGTGGCGGTTGCTACATGATCTTAAATGCAGTCATGAACGACATGGGAGCACTCCAACCGGGAATGCCTTCTCCTGCAATGATACTGAGGGGATGGGAGATGATAATTATTGATTTAAAAGACTGTTTCTTTACTATATCTTTGCACCCTGACGATGCTTACAAATTTGCATTTTCTGTGCCAACAATCAATTGACAAGCTCCCATGCAGCGATATCACTGGGTAGTCCTCCCACAAAGCATGAAAAACTCACCGACTCCATGTCAGATATATGTGGATTATGCATTGCAAGGACTTAGAAAAAATAATCCTGACTTTATCCTTTATCATTATATGGATGATACACTAATCACAGGACAACCGGGTAGCAGACTGCGAGAAATACTTCCAAAAGTAGAAAACACACTCACAGAATTTGGTTTAGTTATTGCACCAGAAAAGATACAACTCGGACCTTCCTGGAAATACCTAGGACTAAAAATAACAGATAGCAATATCATCCCACAGCAGGTCCAACTGATCCAGGAAATCAGAACTCTTAATGATGTACAAAAATTATTGGGGCAATTGAATTGGGTATGCTCATGGTGTGGCATAGATAATCATATGTTAGCTCCATTGTTTGAGCTGTTGCGGGGGGATGTTAACATCAATGCCCCTCGACACCTTACAACTGAAGCCAAACAAGCCCTGGCAAAAATTAATCAACTTCTTAGTGACAGACAATGCCATCACACAATATATGGGTTTGCAATTAATCTATATATCTGTAATCATGAGAAACAGCCAATAGGAGTCATAGGACAGGGGGATAAAGAGCAAAACGATCCACTAACAATTCTGGAATGGATATTGTTACCATATCAGTCAGCGAAGTCTATCACCACCAGGATCGAAATGTTTACACAAGTGATTATAAAAGGATGACAGAGAATCATAGAAACCTCTGGCAGTGATCCGGAGACTATAATACTGCTAGTGACAGATGTGTACTTGCAGTGGTGTCAGCAAAACAGTTTAGAGCTACAGGTCGCTTTAGCCAACTTCAGGGGACGATTGTCAGTCCGTTTCCCACCGCATAAACTATTTCCCTTGTCGTACAATGCATGCCCGTAGCAGGAATAGCCGTGTTTGCAGATGGCTCAGGAAGGACAGGAAAGGCTGCCGTCGTGTGGCGAGACAAAGGAAAATGGGAAACTATGGTGGTGCTGACTGAAGGGTCCCCACGGGTCGTAGAGCTGCAGGCAATTACTGAAGTATTCAAAAAATGGGATAAGGAACCTGTAAATGTTGTATCAGATTCGCAGTATGTAGTTGGGGTGGTGTGTTGATTAGAAAGGGCATATTTGAAACATATTGATAATGAGTTGTTATTTGTAAAATTCAGACAACTTTTGCAGCTGTTAAACTGTAGAAAACATTCCTATTACATTACTCATATCAGGAGTCATACATTGTTACCAGGATTTCTAGCTCAGGGTAATGCCATAGCAGATCAATTGACAGGTCCTGCATGGAAAACGCCTGTTCCGGATCAATTTTGTCAGGCACAATTGTCACATGAATTTTTTCGTCAATCAGCAAACAGTTTAATCTGCCTATAACAGAAGCAAAGCTAATTATGAGTACCTGTGCAGATTGTCAGCAATTGGCCACAACCCCTGTACCCAAAGTGAATCCTAGAGGTTTTGAAGCATTACAGTTATGGCAAACAGATGTTACCCATATAGCTGAATTTGGAAAACTGAAATATGTACATGTGTCTGTAGATACATGGTCACATGCGGCCTGGGCATCTGTTCACACAGGTGAGACCAGTCGCCACATCCAATGCCATTTTTGACAGGCTTTTGCGGTATTAGACATCCCCCAAAAGATAAAAACAGACAATGGCCCAGCCTATGTCAGTCAATCCACAAAACAGTTCTTTTCTAAATGGGACAGAAGCCGTATTACAGGCATTCCACACTCCCCTACAGGACAGGCAATCATTGAGCAAACCCATTTGACTTTAAAAAATATGTTTAAAAAACAAAAAGGGGGAATGCAGAATGAAACTCCTGCAAACCGCATTGCCAAAGCATTACACGTCATGAACCATTTATCTCTGATAGGGATGGATCAAATTCCACATATATGCAAGCATTTTAAAAGCAGTGAAGCAGCACTTGGGGAACAGAATGTGTTGGTTAAGGCAAGGTTGCCTGCTACAGGAAAATGGTTTGGGCCTGTTAAATTACTCACATGGGGCCGAGGGTATGCTTGTGTTGTTACAGAGAATGGACTGTTGTGGGTGTCAGCACGGTGTGTTCGACCATATGTGAAGAATATAAACACGGAGCCAGGAGTGCAGACGACAGAAGAAGCGTCCTTGGATCTCACCTTTTTGGATGGGCGGTGAGCCTTGCTCGCAGAGAGCAAGGCGGGGAACTGGTGGCCGACTGGGTATAACATTTTGTCCCATTTGTAAACATTGTCAAGGGGAGTTACAAGGTCGATGTAAGAAGTGTGAGAAACAGTTAATTGCAAGAAATGATAATCAATTTTGGAATTTAAATTATGTGTTGAATTTTGTCTGTATTTGATGCAGGACAGAGAATAGTTGGGACGAAGTACAGTACAGACTCCTGTACTGTCTCTGCACCCAGCGACAGATAATAAAGGTTTAAGACAATGCAAAAGACAACAAAAGAAAGCGTACTGCTCTTACTTCTAACAAGTGGTTTTGTGATCAATGCGCTGTTTACAGAGGTCCCTTCCAACCCCATATCATTCTGTGATTCTGTAAGACTTACACATTTCTTGAACTTCCTTACATGGTTTGCTCCCCTTCTCCTGTCAGAAACACTCACCTGTTTTTTTCACCATTTTCTGGAAACTTCTAATTTCCAGTTGTAACTTTGGGATTTTTATGGCATTTTTTTGATCTTGTACCAAGTTGGGGGTTTTTTGGGGGTTTTTTTTGGGTTGGTTTTTTTTTTTTTTGAGTTACTTTCATGAGTACAATTGATGAAATTGTAAATTTCCAACATTCCATTTTGGCAGGAAAAGCAACCCAAGAGCTTTTAAAGTGCCACAAAACAAGTGTTTTCATTCTCAAAACCTTCCTGGGAGTGTTTATCTGCAGCTGCTTCAATGTGACTTTTTTTGGTAACGTTGTTAAGTAGACCTACCTGTAACATTAGGTTTTAGTAATACCTTTAAAAAATGAAGGAACAAAGTAACCTCTGGAGGTCCTGTAGTTACCCTGTGCCAAGCAAGTTGTACTCAAAAGCTGTATGACCTTGTTGGGGGCCTTTTCCAGTTGTGTGCTTAAAATCTTCAAGGGTGGAGGTTGCACCACTTTTCTGCATTTCCCCCCTCTCCAGTGAGTTTGTTCTTCCCTTGCATCTGAAAAGGATGTTCCTGTTGCAGCTTTTGGGGCTGTTACAGCTGCCTCTTGAAAATCTCACCTGCTGCAGCATTGGCAGTCAGACCTTCATGCTGCAGTTAAGCCTGATGATACCACGTCTGTGCTCAGTTCCCTTAATCTTTGTTTCCGCTTCCAGCTGAAATGCTAAGAAGTACACGAGTTGCATTTTGTACAACATCCCCATCCATTAGAAGAGCACTTTAAGTCCCTCTTTTATGCCCATCATTACAGTGATGCATTTTGGAAACTCCTCCCACATCTGTCACCTAGATACTTCATAACATACATATTTCTGTTGGTAAAGTTGCTAATGAAGCAAGCCCCAGAGCATTCTGGTCCCACGAAGCACTATCTCCCACCTCCCCACCAGCACCTCCTGCCTTCCTCCAGCGGATCTCTGCAGCACCAAACCTGCTCTTGCCTCCCTCTTCAAGCGCAGAGGAATGGAAGAGAGGTAGCAGGGTGTCCCTCCCACTGCTTTCTGAAGACACCCGCACGTTTACCATGTTTTCTCAAAGGCAGAAGCAAATTTTTTCTGTCCTGACCAGTGTTTAGTAAGAGCTGTCAGGTCCTTATTCCCACAGGACCTGGTGATAAGGAGAAGGTGGCCTTCTCCTGTAAAGCAATCTCCGTGTGCTGAGCATAGAAGGAGAGTGAGCCTGTGCTGGAGCAGGGAAAGGAGCTCTTAGCACCACTCGGTTCAGGCAAGGGGGAAGGAGAAGCTGAATCTGTAACTTAGAGCATGGACTTCCTTTTGAAATCGCAGCTGGGTTAGCTGGACATGCTGGGCCACCCCCTGGTTAGCAGCATTCAGCAGTAATAGAGCCCCTTGCCAAGTCTCCACTGACACTGCACCCACAAAGCATTCTCACTCTCCCCCAGCCACACTGAGAGTGGAGAACAGGCAGGATTGCTGGGAGCCCCAGGGTGAGCAGCATCTGCAAGGTCTCCAGAAGCAAGTTCTCTCTCCACCGGGCTGGTTTCCTACAGATCACGGCCTCTGTATTTCAGAGAAATTTTCTTTTCTTCCTTTTCCTCCTCTCAGACACGCCATAAAAACACCCTTGTTTGAGGAGAGCTTTGCAGAAGATGCTTCCCCTTTGTTGGTCCCGAGGTGGCAGGTGGCCAGCTGCAGCAGTGCCAGGAGCTGGGAGCGAGTGCTGGGCTGTGGTGCGCTGCTTGCTCGCAGCAGAGGCTTTTGCCTCACTGGGAAGGGAGCAGTTCTGGTACCATAGTGGAAAGTGGGCAATCTAAACCCTGGACCATGGCCTGGGAGCCAGGCAAGAGGACCTGCCTGGGCAACAGGGACATTTCTGGGTCCTCTTCATCCTCTGTACTGTCTGCCTGACACCACAGAGCCTTTCCTCAGCCTCAGCTGCCATGCTGTGCAGCTCAGGGTCACAGGGGGCTGTGGGGCAAGCAGGAAGGGTGTCCCATACCTGCTGCAGCTTGTGAGTGGACAGAGGTGTCTGTCCTGGGGCACTGCAGGAGGTCAGGACATGTTGGTGCAAACTCCAAGCTGGAGAAGAGACTCCAAGTTTGTTTAACACAAGAAATCAGCTTGTCCCGGAATCTGTCCCCTGGGCTGGTCCGCCTCCTTGCACCAACACCACCTCTCTGTGATGGCTCACCAGAATGGCCAGGGACTTGGTGGGGGGGGTCTATAGTATTGCTAGTTCAGATGGTGATCGAGCAAGCTTTGTATGTCTCCCGCCAGGTTTTACTAGACAAGAAACTAGAACAATTTCCTGTTTCAGACTCAGAATAATGAGGTGAATGGGGATCACAGCAAATCTCCCTGTGCCTATGCTGTGCAGGGGCCAGGGGGGAGATTCCTCCTGCCATGCTGCTTGTGTGCTCTCTGGGGGCACAGCCTCTCCAGAAGAGTCTCGGATCAGGCAGGGAAATTTTGTACTGCCAACAGCCTCTGCTATGGTCTTGAAGCTGCTCACTCTGTGCACTGATGGCATTTCAATATGAATACATAGCTCATGCTTTCTCAGCTACTTGTTACTAATCTTTTCCTAGTTACGGGCAATACCATGACCTGTACGTGCTGGAGAAGTGGGTCCATGTGAACCTCATGAAGTTCAACAAGGCCAAGTGCAGAGTCGTGCAGCTGGGTTGGGGCACTCATCAATGTCAATACAGGCAGGGGACAGATGGATTGAGAGCAGCCTTAAGGAGAAGGGCTTGGGGACACTGGTGGATGAAAATAAAAATTAAAATGAGCCATCAATGTGCACTGACAGCCCAGAGAGCTATCTGCATCCTGAGCTGCATCCCCAGCAGTGTGGCCAAAAGGTCAAGGGAGGGGATTCTTCCCCTCTGCTCCACTCTGGGGAGACTCCAGCTGGAGTGCAGCTGTGGACCACCCAGTACAAGAGAGACATGTACCTGTTAGAGCAGGTCCAGCCAAGGGATATGAAGATGCTGCGAGGGCTGGAGCCCATCTGCTGTGAGGACAGGCTGAGAGAGTCGGAGGGGTTCAGCCTGGAGAAGGCTCCAGGGAGACCTTATAGTGGCCTTTCAAAACCTAAAGGGGACCCACATGAAAGATGCAGAGAGACTTTTTATGATAGTTTGTAGTGACAAGATAAGGGGCAATGGCTTTAAATTGAAAGAAGGTAGCTGTAGACTGGACATAAGGAAGAAATTTTTGCTGTGAGGGTGGTGAGACCCTGACCCAGGTTGCCCAGAGAAGCTGTGGCTGCCCCATCCCTGGAGGGGTTCAAGGTGAGGTTGGACAGGGCTTGGAGCATCTTGGTCTGGAGGGAGGTGTCCCTGCCCAGGCAAAGGGATTGGACTAGGCCTGCACAGGCTGCTTGGAAAGGCTGCAGGCACGATGCTCCGTCAGGAAGGAGCCGCCACTTGCTGCAATAAAAGCGGAGCCTTGGTCTCCTCTGCCCGAGCCGCTGTTTGTGTCCCGTCTGTCCCGCTCGCAGCCCCAGAGCATCTCCCCCGGCCCGGGCCCGACCCTGTGCCTCGGGCCCAGGGCTGCGCCCGCACACCCTGCCCACGCCGGGGGAGCCCAGCAGCCTCTGCCCCGCCGGCAGCCTGGCTTCCCCCGGGCCTGTCCCCGCGGGCAGGGAGGGGACGGGAGCCCGTGCCCGGAGCCCGTGCCCGGAGCCCGGCCCCTCTCCGCACCCCCTCCTCCCAGCGGGGCAGCCCGCTGCCTGCCGCCCTGCCGGAGCCCAGCCCCAGCGGCAGCGGGCAGGGCCGCGCCCGGGGCTCCGGAGGGGCTGCGGGGAAAGGAGGGGGGCGCCCCGCTGCCCCCGGCCCTGGCCAGCACCCAGCCCTTTCCCCCGGACGGCGGCAGGCTCTGCCCTGGCCGTGCCCGGCCCCAGCCCGCAGGGCCGCTCGGTGCCGGCAGCGGCAGCGGGAGCTGCTCTCCGGGAGAGCGCTCGGGCCCGGCCCCGCACCCGGGCCCGGGGGCACCCGCCGGCTCTGCCTGGGGCTGCCCGAGGGCTGCGCCTCCGCCTGCTCCCGCGGGGACCCGCTCACCGGCCTCTGGGCTTCTGCCCTCGGCCCCTGCCGCTGTCTCCGCCGAGCCAGGCCCACTCGCCCGCTGTTTGGAGCCCGGCCCGCAGCCGCCGCCCGCACCCACCGGGACCCCCGGCCCCCTCCGCGCCCAGACCCGCCCCTCGGGACGGCGCCTCCCTCGCCCGGGGCTGCCCCGAAAGCGCATCGACCCGCAGCGTTTACCCGCTGCCGCCGCTCCCCTCCGGGCGCTGCCCGCGGCGGGTTCCCTGGCGGGTCCCTGCTGGCCCCAGCGCGCGGGCTCCGTCGGCAGCCCTGCCCCGCAGGTGGCGAGCAGCGCGGTCCCGCTGCGGGGGCGGGGGGACGGACCTCCTTGCACCAACACCACCTCTCTGTGATGGCTCACCAGAATGGCCAGGGACTTGGTGGGGGGGGTCTATAGTATTGCTAGTTCAGATGGTGATCGAGCAAGCTTTGTATGTCTCCCGCCAGGTTTTACTAGACAAGAAACTAGAACAATTTCCTGTTTCAGACTCAGAATAATGAGGTGAATGGGGATCACAGCAAATCTCCCTGTGCCTATGCTGTGCAGGGGCCAGGGGGGAGATTCCTCCTGCCATGCTGCTTGTGTGCTCTCTGGGGGCACAGCCTCTCCAGAAGAGTCTCGGATCAGGCAGGGAAATTTTGTACTGCCAACAGCCTCTGCTATGGTCTTGAAGCTGCTCACTCTGTGCACTGATGGCATTTCAATATGAATACATAGCTCATGCTTTCTCAGCTACTTGTTACTAATCTTTTCCTAGTTACGGGCAATACCATGACCTGTACGTGCTGGAGAAGTGGGTCCATGTGAACCTCATGAAGTTCAACAAGGCCAAGTGCAGAGTCGTGCAGCTGGGTTGGGGCACTCATCAATGTCAATACAGGCAGGGGACAGATGGATTGAGAGCAGCCTTAAGGAGAAGGGCTTGGGGACACTGGTGGATGAAAATAAAAATTAAAATGAGCCATCAATGTGCACTGACAGCCCAGAGAGCTATCTGCATCCTGAGCTGCATCCCCAGCAGTGTGGCCAAAAGGTCAAGGGAGGGGATTCTTCCCCTCTGCTCCACTCTGGGGAGACTCCAGCTGGAGTGCAGCTGTGGACCACCCAGTACAAGAGAGACATGTACCTGTTAGAGCAGGTCCAGCCAAGGGATATGAAGATGCTGCGAGGGCTGGAGCCCATCTGCTGTGAGGACAGGCTGAGAGAGTCGGAGGGGTTCAGCCTGGAGAAGGCTCCAGGGAGACCTTATAGTGGCCTTTCAAAACCTAAAGGGGACCCACATGAAAGATGCAGAGAGACTTTTTATGATAGTTTGTAGTGACAAGATAAGGGGCAATGGCTTTAAATTGAAAGAAGGTAGCTGTAGACTGGACATAAGGAAGAAATTTTTGCTGTGAGGGTGGTGAGACCCTGACCCAGGTTGCCCAGAGAAGCTGTGGCTGCCCCATCCCTGGAGGGGTTCAAGGTGAGGTTGGACAGGGCTTGGAGCATCTTGGTCTGGAGGGAGGTGTCCCTGCCCAGGCAAAGGGATTGGACTAGGCCTGCACAGGCTGCTTGGAAAGGCTGCAGGCACGATGCTCCGTCAGGAAGGAGCCGCCACTTGCTGCAATAAAAGCGGAGCCTTGGTCTCCTCTGCCCGAGCCGCTGTTTGTGTCCCGTCTGTCCCGCTCGCAGCCCCAGAGCATCTCCCCCGGCCCGGGCCCGACCCTGTGCCTCGGGCCCAGGGCTGCGCCCGCACACCCTGCCCACGCCGGGGGAGCCCAGCAGCCTCTGCCCCGCCGGCAGCCTGGCTTCCCCCGGGCCTGTCCCCGCGGGCAGGGAGGGGACGGGAGCCCGTGCCCGGAGCCCGTGCCCGGAGCCCGGCCCCTCTCCGCACCCCCTCCTCCCAGCGGGGCAGCCCGCTGCCTGCCGCCCTGCCGGAGCCCAGCCCCAGCGGCAGCGGGCAGGGCCGCGCCCGGGGCTCCGGAGGGGCTGCGGGGAAAGGAGGGGGGCGCCCCGCTGCCCCCGGCCCTGGCCAGCACCCAGCCCTTTCCCCCGGACGGCGGCAGGCTCTGCCCTGGCCGTGCCCGGCCCCAGCCCGCAGGGCCGCTCGGTGCCGGCAGCGGCAGCGGGAGCTGCTCTCCGGGAGAGCGCTCGGGCCCGGCCCCGCACCCGGGCCCGGGGGCACCCGCCGGCTCTGCCTGGGGCTGCCCGAGGGCTGCGCCTCCGCCTGCTCCCGCGGGGACCCGCTCACCGGCCTCTGGGCTTCTGCCCTCGGCCCCTGCCGCTGTCTCCGCCGAGCCAGGCCCACTCGCCCGCTGTTTGGAGCCCGGCCCGCAGCCGCCGCCCGCACCCACCGGGACCCCCGGCCCCCTCCGCGCCCAGACCCGCCCCTCGGGACGGCGCCTCCCTCGCCCGGGGCTGCCCCGAAAGCGCATCGACCCGCAGCGTTTACCCGCTGCCGCCGCTCCCCTCCGGGCGCTGCCCGCGGCGGGTTCCCTGGCGGGTCCCTGCTGGCCCCAGCGCGCGGGCTCCGTCGGCAGCCCTGCCCCGCAGGTGGCGAGCAGCGCGGTCCCGCTGCGGGGGCGGGGGGACGGAGCCAGGGGGGACCCCGAGCTCGGGGCCGTCCCTGGCGGGAGTCGGGCCGGCCCCCGGGGCTTTCGTGGACGCCGGCGCCGGCTCTTGCGGGAGGAACCCTCGGGCCCCGGTTCTGCCGAGGTTCGTGCTCCGGGTCGGTGTTGCCCGAGGTGCCTGTTGTGACCCCCCCGGCCGGGCCCGGCGCTGCAACGGGGCCTCGCCAGGGCGGGGGCTCCGTGGTGACTTCGTCTGTCCCCTGCCTCTGCTGACGTTTTGGGTAATAAAATGATGATTGTTACTCCGGAAGCTTAAGACCTTCTCAATCCCTGCAGCTTTAAATGAACATCAAGTTTTGGTGGTTTTTTGGGGGGGTTGGTTTTTTGTGTTTTTTTTTTCTTTTTCCCAAGAAGGATGTTTGGGTTCTATAGCCCTTTCCTGAGAGGCAGGAGGAGTCCAGATGCCCCCGAGCAGCACCAAAGTGGTGCCAGTGCTTGTCTGAGCTGGGTTGCCCAGGGCTGGCCATCAGAAACCAGTGAGCACTGGGTGCCTCATGGTTCAACAAGGAGGAGCTCTTCATTTTAATGTGCTCTTTAGAGCAAAGGGACATTCTGACTGTCCTGCCCCAAGGGGGCAGATCAGTGCCTGCTTGGGTTGTGTGTTTAGGTTTTTATTTTGTTAATCAGAAGCCTTTTATACCAAAGCCTGTTTTTGTGGCTGGCACAAGAGAACTAATTGGGATTTTGTTTTTCCTACAAATGTCACCGTCAGGCTTTCGAGGGATAAAAGGTAGCTTCTTTTTGATCATTGCTTAGCTGGGTCAGTGTTCATCAGAGCTTTCCAGTTGTGTCTGCTTGAGAAATACCACACGGCGGCCAGAAAGGCTGCAGACAGCTCTGGGACATGGTGTTTGCTCTTAAGGACCCCAGCTGAGACTAAGGCTGCTGCTGTTGCATTTCCATGACCCTCCCAGGAATCCCAGAGAGTGTGTGTGTGTGTGTAGCGGGAGAATGAAAAAATCTCTGGGAGTCTTTGCGTGAAAGCTGCCTAAACCAAGAAAAGGCAAACCTGACGTCATTGCAATTTGGGAGAGAAAGGGATAAGCTACCGAGGGGCTGTCATTAGGCACCAGAGTTAACGCTGATTTGAGAGGCCCGGGCAGAGTCCAGTCCCCTTTGACAGCAGTGGCACGCCCTGCCACAAGGCAGAAGCCAACTCCCCCGGGGTTGTGGGCTCCTGCTGGACCCTCTGGGGCACTCCGAGCCCCCAAAGGCAGCTGCCTCTGCAGCGCAGCAGCGGCAGAGCCGCCGGTGGCTGCGGGGAGCCGGGGCGGAGGGAGCTCGGCTCGGCCCCGTCCGGCTCCGCTCGGCCGGGCTCGGCCGCGCCCGGCTCCGCTCGGCCGGGCCCGTCTGCAGCCTTCCCCCGGCCCGGCCCCGCCTGAGGCAAGGTCTGGCGGCGGGCGCGGCGGGGGCTTCTGGGGCCGCTCGGTGATCGCCAGCGCCGGGGCTGCCCAGGGCCCTCGGGGCCGGCAGCTGGGCTGAGGAGGCGGCGGCGGCATCTCCCCTCCTCCCCGGGACTGCGGGGGCCGCGGGCGGCGGGGTGAGGCGTTTCTCGGGGCTGTACCCGCAGAGGCTGCGGGGGACGCCAGAGCCGGGGGGTCCCTGAGGGCCGGGGTCGGTCCTGGGCTGCCACACGGCCCTGCCCGGGCCTTGTCGACATCCCCCGGGGCGAGAGGCCTTTTCGGCCTCGGGGACCTCGGTGGGGACATGGCCGGAGCAGTGTGGCTGGAGGCGGGTGGCCATGGGCTGGAAGTCTGTCCTCAAATCCTGCTCAAAACCACTCTGCTTTTTGGAAATGACACCCGAATCGGCGATTTTCTGGCTGGTGGGAGACGCTGGTGGGAGGCCTGTTCGCCCTGCAGATGAGGAATCCCTGCTCGCCTTCCTTTCTTCTGGTAGGACAGAGTGAGATCTGGGGAAGGCTTTTAGTCATTGACCTTTGACTCTCCTGCTCCCCTAGGCTGCATCCAGGGAGGAGGAAAGATGTCACTGAAACCATTTACCTATCCCTTGCCTGAAACAAGGTTCCTTCACGCAGGCGGGCTTGTGTACAAATTTAAAATCCGGTACGGCAACTTCAGCAGGTAAGCATGTGAAAGCTGCAAAGTCACCCTGGGTGTGATGGCTGTGTGTCGCAGTGAGTGAATATGAGACACAAAACTCAGGTTTGGGGGCTCCGCTGTCCTGCCTTCTTCCACTGACCGTGAAAGTGGTCACTTAGAAGTTGCTGCTGCACTTGCACGGGCTGAACGTTGGCCTGAGAGACTAATTTGAGCTGTATGAAATGCTCCTGTGTCACTGCCACGTGTGGGTTTTGTGCTTCAGTGGAATGAGAGGCTGTTTTTACTGATAGCCTTTTGTGATTTTGTAAATGTTTAATTGAAAAGCTCTAGAGCCTTTGCTATGGTTTAACCCCAGCTGACAACTAAGCCCCACATGGCCACTTGCTCAGGGTCCTGCAATGGGGTGAGGGAGAGACTCAGAAGGGTAGAAGTAAGGATAGAGATAAAGACAGTTTAATAAGTAAAGCAAAAGCTGTGTGCACAAACAAAGCGAAATCAGAAAGTCCTTCAGTGCTTCTCATCAGCAGGCGGGTATTTAATCTCCAGGAAAGCTGGGCTCTGTCACGCCTAAGAGTTACTTGGGAAGACAAATGCCGTAACGCTGAATGTCCCCCCTTCCTCTTTCTTCCCCCGCGTTTATGGCTAAGCATGACGTCCTGTGGTCCAGAATGTCCCTTTAGTCAGTTGGTAACTAAAGCACAGGGAAGATGTCAAACAAGTCAAGAGGATGATCTTGTAGAGGTGAAAAAAAGACTTTCCCTGAGGGCATTACCCTGGAGGAATCTGCATGTGTCTGCTGGTCAGGCACACAGGGATGATGGGCAAGTGCTTTTGTGAGTGGGCAAAACCTTGACCAGCTCCCTCAAGTTGCTCTGGAGCTTTTCGTTTGAGAGGAGATTCGGAATCCTGGAGGCTGCACTCTGTAATAATCACAGAAGTTGGAGCTGCTCTGGAAAAGGAACTGGAGCTGCTCGGGTTTAAGGTTGGTATTCCAAAGCAGGTGCTTCTAGGTTGTGTCCTGCTGAAGGAGTGTTCTGTAGAGCTCAAACTTGGTCTGAAACTTTATGAGTTGTTGCTGTCTCAGCCTCTGATTAATCTTTAAGAACAATAGTATTCCTGAATTTTAGTAAAAACACCTCAAAGCAGTGGCTGAGCACAATCTGGCTTCCTGTGCACGTCTTTGAAGGCTGTGATCATCAACAGGCAGCAGTTTGAGGCTGATGCCCTCAGAGGCTTTTGGAAGGTCCTGCAAACTGTTGAGGTTAAATCTCTCTTCAGATAGCGGCAACCACGCAGAAACTAGGACTGAGATCCTTTTGGGTCAGCAAGTGTCCCTGCATCAGAGAAAGAGAGCATGTTGTGCCACCCCCAGACCCCATTTTCATGGCCGTGAGGTTGCAGCGGGGCTGAAATGGCACAGGCAACGACTCGAGCATCTGCCTAGAGAGTGGCTTAGGAGTGTGAATGGATTTCCTTCTGCAGTCAGATGTGCACAGGCAGTGCTAGAGCCTGGGTTTACTCAGGAAGTGGTACTCAATGGCTCAAAGTCCAGATGGAAACCAGTCACAAGTGGTGTTCCTCAAGGGTCCGTGCTGGGGCCGGTGCTGTTTAACATTTTTATCAATGATATAGATAGGGAGATTAAAGGCACCACCAGCCAGTTTGCAGATGACACCAAGCTGTGTGGTGTTGTCGATACACCAGAGGGATGGGATGTCATCCAAAAGGACCTGGACAGGCTGGAGAGGTGGGCCCAGGTGAACCTCATGAGGTTCAACAAGAGCAAATGCAAGGTTCTGCACCTAGGCCGGAACAATCCTCGCCACCAATACAAACTAGGGGGTGAGGTATTGGAAAGCAGCCCTGAGGAAAGGGACTTGGGGGTTCTGGTGGACGAGAGGCTGGACATGAGCAGGCAGTGGGCAGCTGCAGCCCAGAAGGCCAATCGCATCCTGGGCTGCATCAAAAGAAGCGTTGCCAGCAGGTCCAGAGAGGTGATTCTGCCACTTTGCTCTGCTCTGGTGAGACCTCACCTGGAGTGTTGTGTGCAGGTCTGGAGCCCTCAATATAAGAAGGACATGGACCTGATGGAGAGGGTCCAGAGGAGGGCCACAAGGATGATCAGGGGGATGGAGCACCTCTGCTACGAGGACAGGCTGAGGGAGCTGGGGTTGTTCAGCCTGGAGAAGAGGAGGCTCCGGGGAGACCTAATAGCAGCCTTCCAGTACCTGAAGGGAGCCTACAGGAAGGCTGGGGAGAACCTGTTTAGCAAGGCCTGCAGTGACAGGACGAGGGGCAATGGCTTCAAGCTGGAGGGGAACAGGTTTAGACTGGAGATGAGGAGAGGGTTCTTCACTGTGAGGGTGGTGGAGCACTGGAACAGGTTGCCCGGGGAGGTGGTTGAGGCCCCATCCCTGGAGATATTCAAGGAGAGGCTCGATGAGGCCCTGGGCAACCTGGTCTAGTTGGGGGTGTCCCTGCTGACTGCGGGGAGGTCGGACTAGATGGCCTTTGGAGGTCCCTTCCGGCCTGGGCAATTCTATGATTCTATTCTATGATTCTATGAAGTGACTGTTATTGGCTGCAGAAAAAAGGAGGAGAGTGTGCTATGAACATCACGCCAGCTGGGCTGTCTCCAGACCTGAAGCTACATTAAATCTCGTGCCACACTTGTGAATTGAAACGCGGTTGTTTCTTTAGCTTTGCTTTTAGCATTTCTCTGGGATAGTGTCAGATCCAGGAAGGTTAACTTTCCTCCTTGTTCTGTTCTCGGTGTTGATTTTGGAGAGGAAGGTGCGTTGTGGTGTCGTGTAGTCATAGAATCATAGAATCGTCTAGGTTGGAAGGGACCTTAAAGATCATCTAGTCCAACCATCGGCCTAACCCTGACAAGAAAATAAACAAGAAATAAGCAATAAAAAAAACACTAAACCACATTCCTGAGGACCATGCCAACCCGTCTTTTGAACACCTCCAGGGATGGTGCCTCAACCACTTCCCTGGGCAGCCTGTTTCAATGCTGGATAACCCTTTCCATGAAGAAATGTTTCCTAATATCCAATCTAAACCTCCCCTGGAGCAACTTGAGGCCATTTCCCCTTGTCCTATCTCCTGTGACTTGGGAGACGAGACCGACCCCCGCTTCTCTACACCCCCCCTTCAGGTAGTTCTAGAGCGCGAGGTCTCCCCTCAGCCTCCTCTTCTTCAGACTGAACAACCCCAGCTCCCTCAGCCGCTTCTCATAAGACTTACTCTCCAGACCCCTCACCAGCTTCGTTGCCCTTCTCTGGACCTGCTCCAGCACCTCAATGTCTTTTTTGTGGTAAGGGGCTCAAAACTGTACGCGGTACTCGAGGTGGGGCCTCACCAGTGCTGAGTACAGGCAGATGATCACCTCTTGGGTCCTACTCACCACACTGTTCCTGACACAGGCTGTTGGCCTTCTTAGCCACCTGGGCACACTGTTGGCTCACGTTCAGCCAACATTTGGCCAACACCCCCAGGTCCTTTTCTACCAGGCAGCTCCAGCCATTCTTCCCCAAGCCTGTAGCGCTGCATGGAGTTGTTGTGACCTAAGTGCAGGACCTGGCACTCGGCCTTATTGAAACTCATCCTGTTGGTCTCAGCCCATCGATTCAGCCTGTCCAGATCCCTCTGCAAAGCCTCTGTAGCCTCCAGCAGGTCGACACTCCCACCCAGCTTGGTGTCATCTGTGAACTTACTGAGGGTGCACTCAATCCCCTCCCTCGTCCAGATCATTGATAAAGATATTAAAGAGAACGGGTCCCAGTACCCAGCCCTGTGGGACACCACTCGTGACCGGCTGCCAACTGGATTTGACTCCATTCCCCACCACTCACTGGGCCCAGCCTCCAGCCAGTTTTTAACCCAGCGGAGAGTCCTCCCATCCAAGCCATGGGCAGCCCTTTTCTCCAGGAGGATACTGTGCGAGACCGTATCAAAGGCCTTGCTAAAGTCCAGGTAAACAACATCCACAGCCTTTCCCTCATCCAGCAAGCGGGTCACTTTGTCATAGAAGGAGATCAGGTTTCTCAAGCAGGACCTGTCTCTTGTGAACCTGGGCCTGATCACCTGGGTGTCCTTCATGCGCTCGGGATAATGGCACTCAGGATGATCTGTTCCATGACCTTCCCAGGCACCGAGGTCAGACTGACAGGCCTGGAGTTCCCCAGATCATCCTTCCGGCTCTTCTTGTGGGTGGGCGTCACATTTGCTAGACACCAGTCAGCTGGGACCTCCCCAGTTTGCCAGGACTGCTGGTAAATGATGGAGAGTGGCTCAGTGAGCACTTCCACCAGCTCCCTCAGTACCCTTGGGTGGATCCCATCTGGGCCCATAGACTTGTTTGTATCCAGGTGTTGGAGCAGGTCCCTCACCGTTTCCCTTTGGATTACAGGGGCTTCATTCTGCTCCCTGCCCTGATCTGCCAGCTCAGGGGTCTGGGTACTCAGGGGACACCCTACTCCATTACTAAAGACTGAGGCAAAAAAGGCACTCAGCACCTCAGCCTTGTTATCATCCTTTGTCACTACGTTATCTCCCATATCCAATAGTGGATGGAGGCTGTCCCGAGTCCTCCTCTTGCTACTAATATATTTATAGAATTTCTTTTTGTTGTCGTTAACATCCAAGGCCAGGTTCAGTTCAAGCTGGGCTTTGGCCTTTCTAATCTTTTCCCTACATAACCTTGCTACACCTTTATAATCTTCCTGAGTGGCCTGCCCTTTTCCCAAAGGCCATGACCTCTCTTTTTTTCCCTGAGCTGTGACCCTATCTCTTTGTTCAGCCAGGCCGGTCTTTTCCCTCAACGGCTCGCTTTACTGCGCAGAGGGACGGCCTGTGCCTGCGCTTTTAAGACTTCCTCCGTTAAAAACGTCCAGCCCAGAAGGGACTCCTTTTCCCTTCAGGGCTGCCTCCCAAGGGACTCTGTCAAGCAGACGCTTGAAAAGACCAAAGTCTGCTCTCCAGAAGTCCATGATAGCAGTCCTGCAGGTTCCCCTTCTCGCCTCCCTAAGAATCGAAAACTTTATCATTTCATGGTCACTTTGCCCCAGACGGCCTCCAACCGTCACATCCCCCTCAAGTCCTTCTCTATTTACAAACACCAGATCCAGCAGTGCACCTTCCCTAGTCGGCTCCCTCACCAGCTGTGTCAGGAAGTTCTCCCCGACACACTCCAGGAACCTTCTAGACTGTTCCCTCTCAGCTGTATTGTGCTCCCAGCTGATAACCTGGTAGGTTGAAGTCTCCCACCAGGACAAGGGCAAGTGATTTTGAGACCTCTGCCAGCTGATTATAGAACATTTCATCTACCTCTACATCCTGGTTGGGTGGTCTGTAACAGACTCCCACCACAATATCAGCCTTACTGGCCCTCCCCCTGATTCTTACCCATAGGCACTCAACTCTACCATGGCCCTCAATAAGTTCTAGACCTTCATAATTCTCCCTAACATACGGGGCCACCCCTCCTCCTCTTCTTCCTTGCCTATCCCTTCTGAAGAGCTTGTATCCATCCATTGCAGCACTCCAGTCATGCGATTCATCCCACCACGTTTCCGTGATGGCAACTACATTGTAGCTTTCCTGCCTCACAATGGCCTCCAGCTCCTCCTGTTTGTTGCCCATGCTGTGTGCATTTGTGTAGATGCACTTCATCTGGGCTAGTTGTCCTGCCACTTTTTTTGGGGGACAAGCCCTATTTCCTACCCGACTCGTCCCTTCTGTAGTTGCCACCCTATTACTACTTCTTATGTCTTCGCTACCATATGTGTCACCATCCCCCACTGCCACTGAGACAATGTACTGCAAGGCATTGCTAGCAGTAGTAGTAGGCTTTCCCCCCCCCCATCACAAGCAGGCCTGGTTCCTGTAAATCAGCCCAAATGAGAGAGCAAGTCATCACTACTCTCCCGTCCCTCGAGCCCTGGCATGCTTCCCTTGGGTTTAATCCTCTCGGTCTCAGTTATCTCCCCCTCCCCCCTCATATCTAGTTTAAAGCCATGTCAATGAGCCCTGCTAATCCTGCCCCAAAATTCTTTTCCCCCTCTGGGACAGGTGCCTCCCACCTGCCACCAGTAGGCCAGGTGTCTCATACAGCAGCCTATGATTGAAAAACCCAAAGCCCTGCCGATAGCACCAGTCCTGGAGCCACAAATTGACCTGGTGCCTCTTCCTGTCTGTTTCCTCATTCATCATTCCTAGTGAAGGGGTAGAGGAGAACACAGCTTGTGTTCCTGATCCCTTAAGTAGCCGTCCCAAGGCTCTAAAATCTCTTTTAATTGATTTCAGGCTTCTTCTCCCCACTTCTTTGCTACCCACCTGAAATACTAAAAGGGGGTACTAATCTGAGGGTTTTACTAGGGCAGGAAGTTTTCCCAACACATCCCTAACTCTTGCTCCAGGGAGGCAGCAGACTTCCCTATGAAGTGGGACAGGGTGGCATATTGGCCCCTCCACCCCCCCCCCTAAGACCCTTGAAATGTTGCTTGTTCATAAGACCCTTGAAACGTTGCTGTTGCCTGTGAGTGAGCTCTTTCCCTCAACGTAATCCTGCCAGTGGTGTGTGTATGTTTCTGAAGAGCCTGCGAGTGTTTGGTCTCCTGAGGGTAAGGAGTGCACGGCACGTGTTGGAGATCGGCAGTCTTCATTGCCCCTGCTCGTGTCTCACGCTGTGTGTGCATTGCAGCATCAGTGCTTGCAACTCCCTGTTATCCTTGAGGGAACAGGACACAAGACTTTTGCAGCACCTTTTGTGTTTCATAATAACTTCTGGAATTGGGTGTGAGCTCATCCAATCAGGCTGTACATCAACATGGTCAAACAGAGCAAAAGCAACTCCCATTGAGAGCCAAACTCATGGAATTCTTCCCCATCGTGTCATGGTGGTGGTGAACAAGGGCTGCTTATTCAAAGCATCTGGATTCACTCCCAGTTCATAAGAGAGAGTGAAGGAGTAAGTCCTAAGAACATCCATGGCCTTATGCCCAAAGCAGCTCTTGCAGTCAGCCAGCAGGTTTGGGAAGTGAAACTCCTTCTGCCCGCAATAAGATGGTGACTGGTCTGAGGACAGTCCCCAAAAGAACATTGGAAGAGTTACACGAGCTGATCCCAGCTGATTGTAGAGCTGATTATCTACACGTGTGTGCAGGCTTTTGCTAGAGGGAGATCATCTTCACTAACGGTCTCCTGAATCCCCAGGGAAAACCAGGTAACAATGAAGGTTCTTCCCTTCTTTAAAGATTCTAAGATGACTCCGTTTTTGCATGTCCAAACTCCAGACCTAAAAGAAAATAACCCTCCCTCCTCCCCACCCCCCGTACCCTCCCCCAATGCAACCAGTGTGTCCCTGGCAGTCAGAGAGCAGGTCTGACACCCTTGGCATGAGACCCTGGATGGTGCCTTGCTTTCTTCCATTCTTTCCACCCTCATCTCCTCATCACCGTGGCAACATCCCCTCCTGAATTGTGTTTCCCTGCTGATTGCTGAAGACTTCGTGACCACAGCCTAATTCTTGGGTGGGTGATATCTGTCGTGCTGTGCTCTGTAATTCCTGTCTTTGATTTGCTCTTTATCAAGCAAGGAGAGAGCCTTTCTGAAGAGGAAGGCAAGTTCTTGTCTCTGCTGGAGTTCTGGCTGGGGACCCTGAATGTGGAGGATGTGAGAATGGCTGCATCCCAGGGCATATACCAGAGAATACTTGCATGCCATTATTCCTTACACTCCACTGTATTCACTTATTTCCAAGTAACAGTCATGTGATTTGTTTACTTTTTAATGGGTTTGGATTTTCTTTAAGGCCTTCTCTCTCCCTCTGCATTTTATTGTTGGTCGATACCTTGCAGCAAACAAGTTGGAAAAGCCGACTTACAAAAGATGTGCAGAGTTTGCTGCAGGCGGTACACAGCTCCCAGCACCACCGGGATTAGCTCCAGTGCTGTGAAGGCCCGTTCCTCGGCAGGTTTGCACCGTGGAGGGGATTAAGAGACGTGTCCTGCTGGTTCCTTCTTTTAGTCCCGTGAGTGGAATGGCAACGCTATAGGCTGGAAGGCAGAGGTACTGGTTTGAGGGCACCTGGTCAAAAACCCTGTCCTAAAGGTTACTGAGGATGGACTGAAAAGATCTGATCTCCCATACATTGTATCCTCACACAAAATATAAAGGGGCAGAAAACCAAAAAGGAACAGTCCTTGTGGAATAATGGATATCTTTTACAAGCAATAAATTAGGAATTCATCTGTCTGCAAAGTATTTGTGCAATGAGAATTGTAGGTGCTTAAGCTCTTACAAGGACTGTCTCTCTGTTGCTCTTTGACTGGGCTGGGATGAACTGTCTCTGTTTGTTTCACAGTGCTCCTGATCTCAACAACGCCGACAGTGCTGTCCAGGAGTTAGAGGTAGGAGAAGGAGCAGGTCCCTGGGACCTTCTCTGAATGTTGAGCTGAGCAAGTCTGACGTTTGTTATGGGACTGAGGACATTTTGTCAAATGCAGCGTTTCAAGTGAGAGTAATGGGGAACTTCTCTGGACAGTACGAGGGTGAAAAAAATGACGTAAATGAAAAATGCCACCAACAGGCAGCATTAATGTAGGAAAGTAGTGTTTTTATTTGAAGCATTTCGAAGAAGCTACTGACTTAAAAGTGGACCCATGGAGCTGCCTGTTTGTCGAGCTGGTGGCACCCCGTTCCTTTCTGATTCGTGCTCAGGTTCATTCTGCAGCAGCGCTTTCCCACAGTTTGGCTCTCAGCCCCGGACCCGACCAGGGCTTTTAGCTCCTCAGGCCTGACGAGCTGTCACTCCCTCCTGTTGGTTCAGGAGCTGCGGTGCTGCTGGTGAGCGAGCCTGGCAGCGGCTCATCCACTGCTCGATTGCACATGCTTCCCTCCCAGCTGAGGAGCCACTGGAACCAGTGGACATGCTTTTAATGATGCCAGTACTTGGTGACCACCAATGAGCCCTGTTGGTGTCATCTTCTTCCTGAGGCAGAAGAAAGCCCCTGCCATTCCTGAGGAAATGAGACAAATACACTTCCTGCTTAAGAATGCTCCCTTACTTAATTTTAAGAAAAATCTTCAGCGTACAGCAATAGCATTATAAATATTATTGAAGACAATGTGCTGATTTTAATTGATAAAAAAATTATCGTTTAATTATTTTTCTTTTTCACTTTTGAAAATATTGAAAGGTATTACTAGAAAAAGTTTCCCATTTGTAAAGCAGTTGGGGCTGAATTGCAGTTCCAATCCTGAATTGGGTCAATATGCAGAAAAAGAGGAATATGTTTATTTTTGAAACAGGTCAATACTACCTGTGTTTTGCTGGCCAAAAGGAGACTTCTTAAGTGTAAAACTTCTTAAATTTCAAAGCAGACTTTTCCATAGTGATGCTTCTGTGTTAATTCAAGGTTAAGATATTAATTCACTTCAATGTTTGTGGGTCTGTGAGTGCAGCGCACTCTGGCTGATGGGAGGGAGTGTGGAGAAGAAGGGGAGGAGGAAAAGTGAAATATCTAGAACCTGCTCTTCCACAAGTCATGCAAACTGTAAAGTAATTTTAAATTTTCCCCACACCGTGAAACTGTACTTCACAGTTGAATTGTGGCTATATTGCTAATACTCTTCCTTTGTTTCTTCTTCTGGCCTCTCCAGGAAGCGATTCGAGTAATCCTTGGAAATCTTGATGACTTACATCCATTTTCTACAGACCACTTCACGATCTTTCCATGTATCCTGTCTTTCCTACTCGTAAAAGAGGATTGCAAGAGAAAGGGCATTGCTTGATTCAACATTCATGCCTGATAGCGCGCAGATCTTTAGCTGGAGTATGACTCCTTTGCACTTTGCAGTTTTACGTCAGCTGAAGATCCCCCTCAGGTGTGGCCTTCACTTGAGAACTGATGTGAAAAGAGAGTTTTGCAGTGTTTTGAGATGAATTCCTCTGTGTTCCAAATCAGATTTAGCCACAGAAAATGAACATGTGTATCTAAAGTGACAGGAATCCCACCTAATGCGATTGCAAGCAAAGCTCGTGCATTTCTTAAAAAGGTTGATAAAATGTCAAATGCTCTTTGCAGGCTCAGCAACATTGGCCACAAGTCGAGAAGACGATAGTAGTTTTCTCATAAGGTACATTAGGATTAAATGTTGTAGTTGCTGTAGTGTAAAGGGTTCAAAAGAAGTTGCTGTCATGAGGCTCTTGTTGAAGAGAAAAGTAAGTTGGTTGAATGAGATGCCTTTTCAGTCCTAAGGGGTGTTCATTTGGGAATCAGATCAGGCCCTTTGGCATCCCCTCCCGTGGTTCTGGGTGCCCAGGAGTAATGGACATCCGGGTGTTTCCTCCTCCGAGGCATTCCCTTCCAGTCCTGGAAGATGGCCCCATTGCCACACTTTGTAACAGCAGGCAAGAACGAGGTCATCCTCGTTCTCTGTCAGAAGGTGGTAAGTATGAGAGCAACTGTTCCTGCCAGGAAGAGAAGGTGGCCAAGAGCGTTGTCAGACAGGAAGCACCCAAACAAATGTTGGGCTTGCTGGTTTGCTTCACTAAAGCTCAGCCAGTTTTGCCTGCGTGCTTGAGGAGAGTTTGATTCATGGACTTGTATTTCTACAACTTGAAAGTCCACCCCTGTGCTCGGCCATTACTGGGCCCTGGTGAGAACTGTGAGCTCAGAGGCCTGGTGTGATGAGTTGTTCGGCAGTCTGTGTGTCAGGCTCCTCGCTGGGGCATAACTCTTAGTTACTCACCAGCTGTGGGTGAGTGGGAGCTCTGGGAGAGGGTCACCGGGATGAGTGTTTCTTGTAATGTGTCACTAGTGTTTTTTCATACAGTTCCTACCGACGGATTGTATTTGCTGCCTTACGCACACGTGCCAGGTGGTGTGACTTGTGAAGCTTTACCAGAAGACATTGTCAGGGTGCCTGCTCCTTTGAAACATTAGTGCCGTGTTCTTAAGCCTTAGCGTCATTCTCAGATTTGAGTAAATGGGAGAGGGTATCGAAGATGAGATTCAAACATGAGAATGTCCATCTTGTGCCTTATCCCTACATTTGCACTATGTATCTAGAACTCAACTCATTCCACCAGAATGTATCTTGTGGTAAGTCACTATGGTTATGTTTGGATAATTTCTGGGAACATCTATCATCTATGTCTTGCTTTTCCCTTTCCTTTCTCATCTACCGTGTCTTTGAATTTAAGGGAGCAAACCTGCTGTACCGTGGATTTGAGATAGAGCAGAACAGCGTGTTCTCTTTTGTCCTGTACCGCTCTTCTGAAATTTCCTGAATCTCTCTTTGCCTTTTCTATCCCTGCTGACTCTTCAGCTAGTGTTTTTGTGAAGCCATGCCCAGCAGCTCCCAGCCTTCATCCTTTAATGCCAGTAGCTGGGCTGGAGGCAGCACATGTGTATGGGATGCATGTTTTTCTTCCTTGTGCTTGACCACGTTTGTTGACATTGAGCTTCACGCTCTTTGTTTCTGTTGTCCTAAAGAAAGAATGCTTTTGTTTTTCTAAATAATAATAGTCATAATGGTAATGATGTCTTTTGTATGATTAGGAAATGTTGTTGCTTCACTAGTGCCTCATTTTCCAGGTTTTGGGTGAATTCCCTGAGCAGCCTCAGGCCCCAGCTGAGACCTCTGTGGGACATTTCCGTTCTAAAATTATGCACAGCATAATGTGCTATTACTTGCAGGCACTGATGATTCCAGTTTCTGTTGGCAGGGATTTTCCTTCAGGAAAATACATATGGATGCCGAGCACCAGAGGTTGGCTGGCCAATATTCTGCGGAGTCCACGCTCAGACTGTCCTTGTGTCTTCCCTCTGGTGCCTAAAATACAGAGTGATGCCAACAGTTTTTCATTCCTTCTTCTCTTCTGAAGACTCCTTTAATTCTTCAAGAAAAGCAACTGTCCCCATCCCGTTGACGTGGGGTATTCCCAGCCAGGAATTCTAATTCTGAAAGAGCTGCATTTGCAGTTTTTCAATGTCAATATATCATATGCAAGTCCAGCATGGTTTCTGAGGAGTTTATCTTGTTTGCCAAAAGTGAGGTGCAGTGCAAGAATGTACTTTTAAGTTGGTTAAAGAAAGTCCAGTCACTAAAGAGTCACCATATGTTATAATGCTTCTGTTACAGGTAAAGAAGTAAACAAGGGCAGTGATGAACTTGTAAGTTTTTAATGTTTTTCTGTTTTTGTTTTGTTGTTTCTTTTTTTTTTTTTTTTAAAGTTATATTCTAAATAGTGTGGAGAAGCAGAACAGAGATACAGGCAATGCTCTAGTTCTCCTTTTTCTGGGTGTCAGTCAGGCACTGTGAGGTGGCACTGAATTTTCACCTGTAACCATCCAAGCTGGGAGAAATCATCATATTGGTTCCATCCACCTTTGAATGAAGTACTGCCTGAGGAGCTGAGGGCCCTGCTGGCTGCAGTGAAAGGTGTTTTCTACAACTCTGAGCCGAGCTGTCAAATGGTTTCTTCACTGTGCGAGTCTGTAGGAGGAGGTCAATACGGCTGAATCATTAAGTAGTTTCCTTGGTGCTGTATGTGTCGTAAACGACAAAGTTAAGCTTTTTTGGAAAGTTTTTGTTTAGTGAGAGCTCCGGGTAGGTTTGTTTTCAATCCGAGTGTCTAAAAATGGAGTGAATTAGGGAAGATGTCCTGTCCAAATTCCCCAAAAGAAACTCCTCCTCTCTCTGCTAGCATTACATTTCTGCTAATGACATTCCTCGGCCCTCCTCTGAAGATGGAGCAAACAGCATGTTCTGGCAAGCAGTATTTCTTGTTGAGACCTGTTGAGCATAATTCTCTGGATGGCCTCTCAGTGCTCATCTTCTGTTTGAATAAGGCAGAAGCGTTTTTTTGGTTTTTGTTGTATAAACATGAACAGTTTTGCAAAATATGAATGTATATTAACTCTGAATTTTGTTTTTAAAATAGAAAAGTCAAAATCAAATTATATCAATACCAAGTCTGCAATGTTTTGAAGGTCAAGAGAAGCAACGAAGTGTCAGAAAGTCCTGCAGTGGAAGAAAAGGTGAAGAGAAGAAGAGTGGAAGTCGGAGCAGAGACCTCATGCCTGCAGTTGGGTATGGACAGGTCAGTTGGCTACAAAATAGTCTTCTAGGGCACATACCAGAAATTCTAATGTCTCTTGTACCTTCCTCCGGTTTCATGCCTGGGTGATCCTTTGCCCCATTTGTCTTCTTCCTTCTCTTCCATAGGTGACAGGACTTAAGCAGCATTGCCTGTGTTTGGAGAAAGCTGTCCCATGCTTTCAGGCTCCTGTGCTGTTAACTAGAGGTCTCCCTGTTTATCTCCTTTGTGTTCATGTTATCTGTAGAATCACAGTGGGGTGAGACCTCAGCAGGGTGACGAAGCAGGTCACTGGCTCACGCACCTGAGCTGGGGGTGGAAGGGAAGGACTGGGAGCAGTTTTCTAGCTGAAGGCCAGCCTCTTCCTCTGGGTCAGCTGGTGAATGCTGCCTCTCTGCTTGAGGCTGAGATCCCTCTCTGGGCATTTTGCAGAATCACTGAGGTAGGATGGGACCTTTGAGATCATTGAGTCCAACCCCTCCTTCATGATGGGGTCACCTAGAGAATGTCGCCCAGGACGTGTCCCTCCAGGTGGACTCCAAGGGTGGAGATGCCACAATTTCTGTAGGCAATTGCTTGCTGTTCTTGACCACAGTTGCAGTCAAAAAGTTTTTTCTTGTGTTCAGATTTCATTTCATGTTTTGCAATTTGTGCCCTTTGCCTCTTGTCCTGCCGGAAGGCGCTGTTGAAGAGAGCCTGTCTCCTTCTTCTTTCTTCCCTCCCGTCTGGTGTATGTTGATAAGATCCCCTCCGAGCCTTCTCCAGGCTGAACAATCCCAGCTCTTCCACCGTCTCCACATATGAAAAGCGCTCCTGTCCCTTCATCATCTTTGTTGCCTGTTGCTGGGCTCACCCCATTGAGTACCCATCTTGTCCTGGGGAGCCCAGTCTGGACAGAGTGCACAGACCTCGGCAGCCCAAGCAGAGGGGAAGGATCACCTCCCTCAAGCTGCTGGCAAAACTCTTCCTAATGCACCTCAGTTGGCCACCTTCAGCACGAGGGCGCAACACTGGCTCATGCTGGCTCACTTCAAGCTGAGTTCTTGATCACCTTCCAGAGGCAGGCCCATCGTTAGTTATAGTGCAGCAGGCTTCTTTCTTCCATGGAGTGTAGCTTTTAAAAAAAGACGATTTGTGTCTGTACTTAACGTTCACAGGTATCTGGCAGACAGTCTCAGATCCGGTGTTGTGTTGATAATCACCTTCCCCCTTCCGTGGTGATGGACAGACCATGTCAAATCATTTCCTTTGTTGCCTTAGATTCTTCCCGCTCCCCAAGTGTATTCCATGCAGAGATTATAACGGGAGAAGCCTGAAGCCTTTTTCTCCTCATGTAAATGTAGTCCTTTAGTTTCCCTCTCCCCCATCAGTTTCTAGTCCCAATAAAACTGGTGGAAATGGGTGAAGAATGAGACCAGGATCCAGAATGCTTTCTAATCTGTTTTTGCCAAGACGTGGGCTGTAGATGCCTAAAATAAAAGGCCAGAAAGGGCTCTTTCATGATCCAGTCTGGCAGTCTCTCTTAGTCCTGTGTCTTGCCCAAGAAGTCACCTATTCCAATACATCATTTGAAAGTGTATTCTTGATTTCAATATTAAATTGGTGAGGTGCCAACTTCAACTGCAAGCCTTTTGTCATTGTTTTCCAATTGCTCTGTTAGACTGAAGAGCTCATTCAGTCTGAGTATTCCTCCTGGGAAGGAGTTTGTCTGCTGTACTCAGGCCACCTTTCTGTTTGGACAAGCTCTCTTGCTCACAGTTCCTCACGAGGCATTTGGATTCTGGTTTTCTTGGGGTACTATTGAGAGCTGAGCTCTCCAAATCTCTGGGTGTCCCTCCCCAGTGACACTGATCAGGACAATTATGTGTGCAAATCAGGGTTGGTTCTCCCCACGTGGGTCACTTTGTACCTCTCTGTACAGAGTTTCCTCTGCCATTTTATTGCTCCATTACCGAGTCTTGTAAGATCTTTCTATCGTTCTTTGTGCCCTGCCCTTCTCTTTGTGTCAGTAACCTTGTAGGACTTGCAGCTTTCTCAGCTTGCTGCTCATCCCCCTTTTCCAGGTCATGTAATGCTTTTTTTCTCCTCTTTAACTGCTTATTGGTTTTCCTAGAAAAACAGAAAGCCTGATACTGGAATGAGTGCCTATTTTTGTTTTTGAAATGAGACCTTAAAGCATGAGAACAAATATAGGTTAAGAGTATCTATGTTGTTGGCTAGAGGTACTAAAATCCTGATTTCTAATAAAATACTTGGAGTAGCCATTTACAGGATCGCTTCCTTTTTGTGACTTCTTGTAAACTCAGTTCTTCCTTCTCGGACTTCTTTTTAGAACTGGAACCAACTGTGTTCACCGTATGAGTCAAGCAAAGCATGGATGTGAAATGGTAAGCTACAGAATATTCAGAAAGAGAGAACAGTATCTGTTTAGTCATAGATTCTTAAAGCCGCAAGCATAAAAATGCCTTCGTGTAGGTTTTTTTCCCCTTATCACCTGCATGATTTGTGATTTCTGCTCATCAAACTTAGCCAAGGGAGGAGTTTTCCCGGGAGACAACATGAGATTTTCTGACTGTAGAGCTATGAACTGTAGGGTGAGCTCAGCCTCTCGGAGATGAACGCGAAGGATGCCCTGCCTTGTCTTCAGGACTCCAGTCCTCTTTTCCCTCCCATACCCCTTCGTGCAGAACTCCCTGGAGGGCCAACAGTGGGTGCTGACACCTTGGCACTGGCTCCAGTGTGAGTATTTGCCACTCCCCGCCAGTGATCACCCATCGGTGCAGATGGCCTTGCAGCATCTCCCTCCTCGTGAAACAGCCTTTTCTCACTGTGGCATCGGAAGGCAGATTTACAACGGGATTGTTGCAGAGGGATTGTTGCTTGCTTTCTAAACCCGTTGTTCTCCAGAGACCTTGTCAGGAGGGGAAGATTCTTTCTCTTTAGCTCGCAGGCTAAAGGCTGCTCTGACAGAGCTGCTGTTAGGCACAGCCTTCGGCTAATGGGGTCTTCACTGACACCCGTGTTCTCCTGCTCCTGGCTATTGCCCTTCCTCTCAAATGTCCCAGTGCATTTCATCCATTTGCTGGACACTGATGCCCATTCTAATTTAGTTCAAATCCCTGCCACAGTCTCACCTTCCTGGCCTTTTTCCACTCCAGCTCTTCAGAGAGAGGATTTTACGAGGAGGCAAACTCATTCCTCTCGGCTTTGTCCACAAAGGAAGTTTCCTGGTGGTATAAAAGGAACAACTTCTTCTCCCCCTGTTCCTTGGGAGGTGAACAGTTGCATCAAATACCTGGATTTCTCTGTGTTTCTGCATGATGACGTGCTGCGCCCATTTCAGGAACCTTCTGGTCCTCTCCACAACTGGCTGAGCCTTTACACAAATGCTGTGTGTGGGCTTGCTTGAAATCTCAGGTGGCCAAGCCATACTGCCTGCTTGCTCCTGGAGATTTGGTTCCAAAGGGCCAACCCCAGCATAATTGCTCTGCAGGGATTCACTGCAGATACAACAGCCTGTGATTTCAGGTGCTACTAGTTGCATGGTTACCTTCAGCCTGCCCAGAGAAACTCTTGTATCAAAATGGCCCTCACTTTGTTGTAAGCCCAAAACTTCCTTTCAGAAGAGGGTTTTTTAACAGGTTTGTTGGATTTTCAAGAGAGGAAGGAGACTGCCTGTTAACTCCTCAGGAGCATTCAATACAGAAGAACTTCTCTAAAACGAGTAGGCTTCTTTGTCTCTAAAACCTGTATCCCTTTTTTCCCCCCTCAGCTTACCTTTGCGGGATTGGTGACAGGTCTCTAGGCATGCCCTTTCTGGCTCCTTTCCTCAGGTGCCCCAAACGCACTCTTGGTGGGATAAGGGTCATCCTCTGAAAGATGCTTTTTGATCCTCCACTTTGCTGTAGCCACTCTCCCCAGAATGCCTGCGCTCCTTGGACAGTGCCTGAGTTTCCAAAACACTAGAGTCGTTGAAAGCTGGAGCTCTAGGTGAGCGTGTTGGACGCTGAGAAATAATGTGGCAAGTGGCAGACTTCACCGTCACCTCATATTGTGCTAACTAATGTGGGAGGGCATGTCCTGAGCTCTTTCCAGGTAAACTGGAACTATTGAAGAATGACTCGTCAGCTCAGCATATAGCAATTCAGGTGAGAAGAACCTTCTCCAGAACAGATGCTTGTGCCACCTTGACCTGTACCTGAAATTTGCACTAGTCAGGGCACTGTTATGCTGAGAGGGATGTCCAGACACAAACCATTGTGTTTATGAATACCAGAGCAGGTATCACGAGTACCACCTGAAATCATGGGCAGATGACCCTTCCTTCCCTTACATGTGTTTTTTTAGGAGATTAGAGCCAGGTGCTTCTGTGACATGTTTTCCATTTGGTGTGCTTTCCATTTGCTTTCTTTTGGTTTTCAGGATCAGAAGAAAGATTAGGTTCAGGAAAAAACATATGCATAGCTCCTGTGCTTCCTCAGGATTCTTCTGATCATTCCTCTAGGGCTCTTGTTCAGTTTATCAGCAGTGTGTGACTTTGGATCCAGATCCACCTGGTGTTTTAGAAGGCATCTCAAAAAGGGAAGGGTCTCATTAAACATGAAGGAAATCTGTCTACTTAGTGCCTGTAGGAGTGACGTTACAACATGGGCACTCAATGCAGAAGGAGGAGCGTGGAAGTGCCGCAGTCACATGGCTGTTAAGTAGACTGCATCTTCAGCTCCATCCAAACACCTTCTCGGCCTGCGATCTGGACAGCAGGTTGTTTGGTCAGGATGAGTGGTGTGGAGCCTGCACAGCTTTCCACTTAGCGAGCGCTCCAGGAGCAGCCAAAGAAAGAGAAGAGAGAACTGAGAGACGCTCAGACTGTCACTGCAGGTAATTTTCCCAACTTAGTTAATGCTCTGAGACTAAACTGCAAAGATCTCGGGCCATCTACAGTCCGGAATTTTGCGTGAACCTGAGCTTAGTGTATGAGAAACACCATCGGGGAGTGGATCGGTTCTTCTCTCATCTTCTCCCTATGACAAAGTTGGCTTATTCTCTCTCAAAGCTTAAATGCTGATTTTGTTGTTTGTGGTCCTTTGTATTGCTGATAGCGTTCCTCACGGATATCCCTGGCTCACCTCTTGCTTTGGCACT